TAACAGCTCAGCGATGCTTCGCTCGGCTTCAAACTGCTTTTGGCCATGAAGCACCGTGCAAGAGCAGATATTTATAGCTGGTTTGCAGAATTCAAACGCGGTCGTGTGAAGCTCAGTGACGAATTTCGTGATGGTCGACCGTCCACTGCTGTGAACAACAAAAACATCGATGCTCTGCGCTGTACGATCAAAACAGCCAGACATATGACATACCATGCGATTCGGACATCTTTAGGCATAGGCATGAGTCTAATACAATCAATACTACATAAACATTTGGGTATCTCAAAAAACGGATCGCGTCACTTGTTGCAATGCCATGCTTACCAGTTTCAACGAAGGAGCGTCAGTTTGATGTGGGACTTAGTAACAAATGAACAAAAGTAACAAACATGGATTTATAGTTACGATCCCAAAACAAAGCAGCAATCGTATGGGTCTTTCGAGATGAGCCGAAACCAAACAAAGTGGCGCGCGTGCAAAGTGCCTCTAAGCCGATGATTGCTTCTTTTTTTAATAAAACTGGACACGTGGCTACTGTTGCTTTGGAGAATCGTTGTATCGTGAATAGTGATTGGTACACGACCATTTTTTGCCGGAAGTTATTGACAAACTCCATAAAAATAACCGTAAACGCCGTATCATCTTGCGACGCTAGTGCCCGTTCTCACACGGCCAGACAGACAAATGAATTTTTTAAGGTGAACAACGTTGACCTTATGAGCCATCCCCCGTACAGTCCTGACCTGGCACTTTGTGGCTTTTATTTATTTCCAAAAATTAAGAACCTGTTACGCGGTCAACGATTTTCATCACCTGAAAAGGCTGTCGAAGAGTATGAAAAATATGTTTCAAAGATTGTTACGGAGGAGTGGCATAAAGGTTTTCAAAATTGGTTAATTCGTATGAAAAAGTGCGTTAACGCTAACGGAGAATATTTTGAGAAACAATAAATTCATTCCTAACCATTTATAGTATTTTTTTCTTATTCATTCCGGGGATAGGGAGGATATTTGAAGACATTTGACGACCTCGATGACCCAACGGTTTGCACTGTGCACCCTGTATGAGGAGGTTCCGATTAGATTCCAGCAGCTCGGAAACTGCGTCTTTTCCGAGTCTAGGCGCATAATTGCGATTCACAACTAGCCGAGCGGAAACTTTGACATTTCTAATCGGAACAATATTTTATTGATTTAACCCACAAATTAGAAATATATAGTAAAACTCAGGTTCATCTTGTCGCTCGGAAATCCATCTGATTTCGAGGCTACCCGGGCGGTTCAATTTCGATTTGAATAAAAATCAGCATGCAGGTAGGACCTACTTGAAGCGCAGGCCACACCGCGAACGAAGCCAACTAACTTAGCTCACGTAGTTACATGTAACCAACTATGCCAACTAAGCTAACTTAGCTCAGCTCAGCTCACGTAGTTGCATGCAAAGATAAGCTAAGAAAATACATAGTAAGTAGTGACTATGGACACGTGCGGGGGTGAGGGACGGTAAAAGTGCGACATATTTTACATAGCTAGCCATCATAGATCCCGCTAGCGGGATCGTTGGGTTAGTTTAGTTAGCTTAGTTCGTGGTGTGAACCAAAATATGAAAAGACGCCCCAGCTACGTGAGCTAAGTTAGCTTAGCTTCGTGCGCGGTGGAGCCTGCGCATAAGAAAGAACATTTCCAATTTCACTGAATTGGATTCTTTTGATCTGGTACTCAGAGTACCTACAGAGAATTCCCTAGTTAAAGATCAGGTGTAGCTGCCTGACACATTAACATTACACATGTCGTCATAAAGGTGATTTTGTTCCTACAATAGAAACGCTAAAATTAGTGTACATAACAACATACGAACAAATAGGGTCACCATCACCGTTTATGTAGACAGGTACACTATAGGTATAATAATAATAGTTTGTCTTATCTAAGTACACGTGGTGTGCAATGAGTAACTTCTTCATCGTCTTCCCGCCGTTTTATCATACCTGTTATGAATCCTATCCACTTTATATTTATAAATTTGAATCGTTTTCAAATTCAATTTCCTTTACTATTAGTAATCTCACGTTAGTTCTATCAGTCGTCCAAATTCTTGAACCGAGAAGACCCATGCCCATAAATGTTACAAGTTACCTTCATTTCCTTATTGTAAAACTTCACAATGATTAATTAAATTTAAAAAAATTACATCGTTATATGACCTTTTTGGGCTTTCTTTTCCTCATTTATCATCTCTTACAATAAACCTTGTAGACCTTGACTTCTGTATTCTCATTTCTCTAAGGCCACAAACGCTTCGCAAGAATCCTCTATAGGAATACTCAGGAACAAACTTGTTCAGTGATAAAAATTGAACTTCACCCCAATAAGCAACAACTAATTTATTACGAAAACTTGGTTATCGATAAGATATCTATGATAAGATAAAAAAAATATCAAATAAGTCTTGACACATCCTTGTACACTCACCTAATATTACACCATTTTAAAATGCTAATAATTAAAACGAAAAGTCGTATCCTTGATATAATAAAGCCACATGTGATCATACATCAAAAGTGCTTTTATCACAAGAAAATCATTAAAAAAAAATTACTATAATGTCAAATTTGGCCTTTTTAAGCATAAAAAAATTATCGACTTTCATTCGTAGAATCTTTAGACCTATCTCTTGAAATGTTGCCTTTTTGCAGATGTGGCCTTATTACACCAAATGGTGCGAAGTATCTTAAACGCTAATATGTAGAATTTCGCCATCTTGTACAATTTCAAAGAACTAATATAAAAACACGAAGGAGAAGAAGAAGATACGTCATCTTCTAACATAAATTCGGTAGAGCAAAGATATCGAATATGTAATCTAGTTATATCTTGCTAAAGGGTTATTTATATAAATACGATGAGCCAGAGCCAAGACTACGTCAAGCAAAGCTTGTCACTCGACCAGAGAACCAAAAAGTAACACTCGACTTGATTTATGGGCTTTGGACCTTAGACTATTTGAACATGCTTTGAATAATTGTTGTCGTAAGCGGCCAATGATATTATACTTGTTATGCGGTAGAGTTCTTGCCGTAGAGTAATTTAAATCTAAAGTGTCAAGCTGCCGATTTATCCGTATTATTCCTTAATTATATGTAGGAGTAAGCGTACAAAAGGAGGCATTGAGTGAAACTCCCTCGTCACTAATTGTGTCAGTAATTATTTGATAATAATAATTGTGGTCTATACGTTCTCCGTCATCAATTTGTTAGGCCCGCTGTGAATAAAACTTGAAATTATGTGTGTTAAGTAGCATATTCGCCCAAGCTATAAAATCCCTAAAAATCAAAAAACATAATTGTACAATTCTGCTTGCTGCCGGACATTGGGGAATATGAACTCTCTTATTTCCCCAATTCTGAAATATTACAATACTGAAACACCCAAATGAGTTATTTTACAACTCCATTCCCCACAAAATCCCCAATCAAATTTGCGATTCCCCAGACGTTTTGTTAAGTAGCCTAAAATCGCCTTTTCCTATTTTAAACATAGCCTAAATAACGCCGAGTCGCCGATCACATTTTTAGTCGCCGCGCGACCCTTCCAAGTAGCCTAAATGGCGAAAGATCGTCTAATTTGGCAACCATACTCATCACCAGCGACCTGTCAAACTTCTTCTACCCCGCCGAAAAATTGACACTTAGGGTCGTATTCAAGAACTCTACTCAATCCTTAAGTCAGGACTTGAATATGATTCAAAGCACTAGAAATCATACTCAAGTCCTTGCCATTAGGGTCATATTTCCAGAGCTTGAAATCATACTCAAGTCTGCTCAAATCTTGACTTGAGCACTGAGTACAGTTCTGAAACACGACTATTAGGATCGTATTCCAGAACTCTACTCAATGCTCAAGTCAGGATCTGAGTATGATTTCAAGTACTGGAAATACGACCCTAACGGCAGGGACTTGAGTATGATTTCGAGTGCTTTAAACCATACTCAAATCCTGACTTGAGTATGATTTTATGCACTGGAAATACGACAATAATGGCAAGACTTGAGTATGATTTCTAGTGCTTTAAATCATACTTAAGTCCTGACTTGAGCATTGAGTAGAGTTCTGGAATACGACCCTTACAGACTTACAACTCCATTTGGTGTTACCCGCTCTAAATAATATTTTGATTTGGCGAATAAACTGACTACTTGATATCCCGATAATCAGTAATCAACTATTTTAATAACGCGCCGTTATGTACAATTCTTTTTTTATTATTATTAAATCCATTGACGGGACGAACTCTTGCAACTGGTGGAAAGCGACACCTACCCTACCTATAACAGTTGCAGTGCCACTCAGAGCTTTAAATCGCTAAAAACTGAAAGAAACTCTGCGCCCGTCACCCTGAGACATAAAGTAGACAAGTCCCATGTGTGCCAATTAGTGCCAACTCTGACCTCGTATTTAAAATTAAACTAATTTTAGCAGTATCCACGTTTGAATTCAAAGCTTATGCAAAATTAACCAAACCGAAAGCAAATTTTAATTAAAGCAATAAGATTTAATTTAGTTTTTAGTTTCTAATCCGATTATATTTTATGTATTGCATTTTAGTATGTAGCAATGTGTAATATAATTACTGCTTCCGTGGCCGAACGGTTACCATGCCGGACTGCCACGCAGAGGTCCCAAGTTGGATTCCCAGGCCAAGAGAAATATTTATATGGCCTACGTTTATTTCTCTCGTGACTTTGGGTGTAATTTGTGGTTGTATATGTGTGTCCATAACTACTGCGACACAGTTTCCCCAGTGCGGGGCTATGTTGGTGTGTGCGTTATTATAATTATTATTATAAAATTATATGTTACAAAATACGTAGTTGGTTTTGTGAAGTTTGCTTAATTGGTTTATGTACCAACACCCTTCTGCCCTTCACCAGTAACCCTGTAATAATTTGTATGATTGCTTGTAACTTTCACTACATTTTGTATTGTCACTGTTTTTATTTTGTGTGCAATAAAGCTTATATTCTATTATTCTTATATAATATTAATCTGAATCTTTTTACAATATACCCACCTATAAATATTAATGGCACTAGTCCAACACAAAGGATTTTATTTCACTACAAAGTGGAATGTTAGAACAGCAATTAAACACTTTACCCCTATTCTTACAATAGTACAAACAATACTACTGTTTGTTGATAGGAGTCCAGAATATTATCTATATTGGGCTCAAGAGTTACTTTTTTAATATATTCAACTTATATTATGTCTAGACGTCGCAGAATTTAAAAATTAACATTAAATATAAAAGGTAATAACATTAGCCTGAATTCCTTTCACAACACGATATGGGTGTATATAATTAGGTAATATCAATTTTGCAAACTTGTCAACGTAACTTTTCAACAGTTAATGTTAATAAACGCAATGCAAGGCTTATTGAAATCTATGTATTAGAATTAGAAGCACCGTCTGATGAAGTTGAGGCGTCGTCGTCTGAGTTGGATCCTTCTTCGCTACTCTCGCCTTGCTGCGGAAACAAATAATATTTAAGTATTGTGTTTGCCAAAAGTCCGTACGGTATCAAAGTACAAATGAAAAACGTTTAAAAAATAAATATAAAATTTTAATCAATTACGTATTGGAAAAGTTGATTTACAATCGCGTTCTTGTGTCCGTCAGGATGGCTGGACCAAACAAGATTTACAAATCAAACTGTGCTCAGTATTAGTAAGGTAAACTGTCTTTTTAAAGATACCTTCTGCAAAGGCGTTTTATTATTATTTTTTATAAAAGCTTCTTAAAATAGTGAAAAAAAAAGTATGTTTGGGTAGAAATTAGGTAGTAAATATAAAAAATTGTTAGTTATATAAAAAAGTAAATTACATACTGCTAGAACCATGAAAAATGTAAAGTGGTCCAGCCAACCTGACGGCAGAATGGCTGGCCACGTTATTATTTTAATCTTTCCGTTAGCGCAAAGGTTGAAAATATGTCAATAAAGGTACTAAATAGTAAAAAATAGGTAGTAATTTGACTTCTACATCTCGTTAGGTCTAGCCATCCTGACGGACACGCGTTCTTAGGTTTTCGCGATTGTTACAGATAGGTAACGAAACTATTTTTTCCGATCTAAATCGCCTTCTAGATCTAAAGGGCCCGAAACGTTGGTTTGTTTGAAACAACAAACAGACGCGATTTAGATCTGAAATAATTATAACTTTTTTATAAAAATAAACCGACCTCAAAAGTTCGTGGAATTACATCTATTTGCCAAGTATTATTGAAACAGTTACCGGAAACATTCATCCCCTAGTTTGCCACCCTTACAGGTGGAATATTTCCTTCAAATTAAAAATGGGACCAATACTGTGGTACCCTCTTTCCAACAAAAAAAGAATCATCAGAATCGATACACAAACGCCGGAGTAATCGCGTAACATACATACAAAAAAATACAGACGAATTGAGAACCTCCTCCTTCTTTGAAGTCGATTAAAAATATTTTCATTTTTTTTTTGCCATCCTTCAGATAATTTTCGAATTCTCCTTTGTCCCATAAAAAAATCTGTTTTACTTAGAAAATACAGTTCTTTGTATCGTTTGATAGTCTCTTCGAGTCGCTTCAATTACCGAAGCCAGGAGAAGCGACGGTACGATGCATTAAAACGAGCAATACAACATAAATTTTGTCTGCTACATGATAAGATTGACTATTTTTAAACAAAACATTTAATAGAAGTTGCAGCAACCGGCGCCATTCGCAAAATTAACTTATCAAAGTCTACTTAAATACTATTTGTAAATTACTTAAAATATTTAGCATTACAAAATGTTTCATTGCAAATGCAATCTTTAGACAAAAACTTACTTCAAACTTAAGATCAGTATTCTGCGTAGCAAGCAAAGTCAACTTGACATATCGGAAGATATGGTCGCGACAAATTTCATCTGTGTTTGGTGATAACCAGCCGCGCTTATGATGGCACAGGTAGCCAGGTGGCGGCTCGATAGCTAGCATCTCTTCTACTTCTGGCAGCTTTATGTCGCAATACTGGCAAGCAAAATAAATAACAATGTTATTTCATTGATGGGTCAAGTAAACAGACAGAATAAAATGTTATTCACTTTGTATGACTCTGCTGTCCCAATTTTTTTCTTCCGATCCGATACAATAAGTCATCCTTATAAGAAACTCATTCCATTAGCATTAAAAAAAATTTGTCCATTTTATAGAACAAGATATTTTATGAAAATATATATTTTATGAAATTTGACCAACTTCTGCTGTCCCAATTTTTTTCTTCCTGTCCGATACAATAGGTCATCCTTATAAGAAACTCATTCTATTAGCATTAAAAAAAATAGTCCATTTTATATTATTATATTTTAACTGCCTCCGTGGCCGAACGGTTACCATGCCGGACTGCCACGCAGAGGTCCCAGGTTCGATTCCCGGGCCGGGAGAAATGTTTGTATGGCTTACATTTATTTCTCTCGTGAGTTTGGGTGTAATTTGTCTATGTGTGTGTCCATGGCACCCGCGACACAGGGTTTCCCTAGTGCGGGGTTATGTTGAGTGTGTGCGTAGTGTGTGCGTTATTGAAAAAGAATTTTTATGAAAATATATTTTATGAAATTTTACCAACTTCTGCTGTCCCTATTTTTTCGTCACATACAATGAAATGATCTCTTCGTGAAACTGAGTCGATCAGCACTAAAAAAAATTTGATCAATTTAATTTTTATGGACAATTCACGCTTGACTTACTATGCCAAAATTGTTTTCACAAAAAAAAACTTAACAGTTCCTAAGACAATTTCCTTGTATCTTCTATGGTTTCAGATTTCCCCATACTGTCTTATTTAAAAAAAACACTCTGTATCTAATGTTTTAATGTTTTTGAAACATTAGATACAGAGTGTTTTTTTAAGTGGTATTGGAGTTTTACATAATGATAAATAAGCACGTTCTCTCGCTTCGAAAATTTTTATGAGAGTAATGACGGAACGAACCAATGTAAAAATAGTGAAAGGAAAGGAATTCGGGAATTATTCAAAATTTTACAATTAAGTGGCCAGGAACCAGTAAAGAGCGTGATAAAAAGGTGGGATGACGATGAAGGAAGTCAGCATCGTCACAAACTGTCACACCTCCCGCACGCGCAACTACCTCAAAAACCAATTTAGTTAAGCGGTTGGCCTGTAATAGAAATAGTCATTTATCACTTTTTTTTAACTGTCGAACGAACATCGAACATCCTTTTCGTATTTCGAACCAAATGTCATTATCAGCATAACATACTATGCCGATAATAATGACGAAGTAAAATAATAATAACTCTTTATTGCACAAAGAAAAGACACATTGAACACAAGTTATAAAGGACATATACAATGTGACAACCCTACGCTCCGAGCTATTTGGAAGATCCCGCTGCGAATACGCGGTGAACCCGCCCGGTCGGTCAGGTCACTGTCGAATCGCTCGCAAATCGCCAGTGTGACAAGGCTCTAAATCAGAAAGATCTAAGGGGTACTGCCACTGCACCCGTCACCCTGAGACGTAAGTTGACAAGTTCCACGTGCCCGTAATTTTACCAGCACTCTTACCCTTTAAAACCGAAACAGCAATGTTCACATTACTGCCGTCCGCTAACTAGAACGCGGCTAAGTGACAAAATAATTTTTTGAGATATCATAAAAACCATAACCCAGTTTTAGAACATTGAAATTGTTTAATGATATTTCAGCTATGCATAGTTAGGGTAAGTTCCGATAAGCCGAATGCGTTAGCTAATTTTAATGAATGAATGAATGAATGAAATATTCTTTATTGCACATAAATTACAATTAAAATACAATACAATAGCTTAAGTATAATAGTAGTAGTAAGTCAATGTGCAACAGGCGGCCTTATTGCCATGTAGCAATTTCTTCCAGGCAACCTTAGGATAGACATTTCGGATATGCAAAAAGGGGTGCAACCAAAGAATATCATCATAAGTACACTACATAATAAGTAATAATAAAAATATATACATATCCGTAGATAGATATACATATACATACAAATAATAATAATAATATTAATACATACATAACAATATGTATGTATATTGTTCTTACAAGAGAATTTTGTGCTCTATCTTTTGCTATTTAAAACGGATATTTGACCATTTGTCACTTAACCGCTTTTAGTTAGTGGACGGCAGATTACTGCTTGGCGGCAGAAATATGTAAAGTACCAGTCAGCATTCCCTGGACGAAACGTTTCACAAAGAGCTCTACTGTTACTACATTTCAAAACTCACTAAATCTCAGTCAGTCGTGACCATGGGACCTGCAAGTGCCCGAAACGTTTGGTTTATTTAAAAAAAATACGCGACTGAGGTCTAAAAAAATAGAACCATCACGATACGATCCAAAGTCGTGTGCGTCCACACATTGCCTGTCCGAAACTAACCTCTCATCTTCCAAACCTTATTAAGTTGTCTGCGTTATACGAGCCGAACCGTGAGATGTTCTTGGGACTTTGCTGCCTGCAAACATTTACCTGATAATAGATCTGTCGCTGTGTAGGCGCCATCCCGGGTCGGAAATACACAGCACCTTCGTTAATATCATCTCCCAAAAGAGCTTCACCTAGGTGTTGTTTTGGATTATGTTTTACACGATCAGACTTCTTGTAGTGCATTATTCGGTCGCGCGTCATCACCATCGAATGCACACCCGCTAAAAGAATATAGAAATGCTTTAGATCAATAAGGAACCTACGTGATGTAAAAATTCTCATAAGTTGTAGGCTTGTATAGTTCATGAACTACGAACTATTAGGATATATTCCCGACACTGACCGACATGAACTAGTGTAGTCTTCGACGGTTTTAATAGTTCATCGTTGTTTTTAGTTCAGTACAAACTAGGAACTGTCTGCGTTGATAGTTCACCTGTCTTTTATTCAGTAGGAACGGTGCGAGCGGGACAAATAGCGATCGTTCACTACTTTTAGTACAAGTTCTAGTGGGATACACGATTTAACGTTGCCAGCTCGTTCTAAGTCTCTAATACGTATCTACATTATGTATATATACAAGCTTGCAAAAAAGTAATATTTTTGGTAGGTGTGGTAGGTATCTGTATGTTCAATATCAACCGAGTATATGAAATAGTTGTACCTGACTATTGATTTAAACACACCACTCCAACTATAATTCTTATTTTGTAAAAAAAAAAGGATATTTAGTTAAAATGACAGTCTTTACACTGTAAAATATGAAGGAAAATCAAATAGTACCGATTCCGTACAAATTGTATTTTTAAATATTTAATACAGTGTAGTATTGACCTCATAATACTAGAAGTCCGTAGTAGTAGTAGTTCATATGAATAAAATTTCTAGTTTGGAGCGTTCGTTCAATGTCCGAGCAAAGACAAGACGAACTAACGAACTAAGGAACTAGATGAACTAAATGAACTAGAAGACCGGCCTAGTTCAGTTGACCGATTGAACTAACTAGGATTGCTCCCTCTAAGGACCGATCAGGCACAAGTCTAATAAGTTGAGGTAATGTATGTTTTTTTTTTATTTCTCTAGGCTTTTAGCGGGTAGCGTTTTAGCCACGTACAAAGTTTTAACAAGTCTTACAAAAACAGTTTTTTTTTAATACTAAGGGACGGGACGAACAAGTTGTGCACCTGGTGTTAAGAGCCTGTCCATAGCAGTTGCAATGCTATTCAGAGCTTTAAATCGCAAGATCTAAGAAGCACTGTCACTGCGCCCATCATCCTGAGACATAAATTGACAAGTCCCACATGCCTGATATTTCACCAGCACCCTTACCTTCAAATCCAGAACGCAAATTTAAATTATTAATAATAATTTAATAATAATTTTTAATAATAAAATAAAATAATTAATAATAATTTAAATTTAAATTAAAAAAAGACGCTCACATTACTGTTTGGCGGCAGAAATAGGTAGGGTTACTTCCCTGGACGAATTCTTTCACAAGGAGCTCTACTGCTACGGAATATTTTGTATGGAAAGTAAAATTCAAAATATTCTAAGTGCTGATTTTTATTTCTGAGACACGCAAGTGTCCTTTTCAAGTTATAACAACAAAACTATCCCCATTTAAAATTTACACGTAAACACATTCATTCAATTATAATTTTACAATTTAATTGAAAATGACTCTGTTTAATGTAATTTAAGCACCAATTACGAAATCTCACCTTGATGCCTCAACCTGAAGTCCAAAGTTTGATAGAACCTCGCACCAGGCTCTTTTCGAGGATCATAACCAAATCGGATCCACATCATGCGCCATGGTCCATTCCTCATGTAAATTGAAAGACAGGGCAGGATTACCTTGACCGAGGATAGTTTGATTTTCGTTTGATATCTTATTTGGTTCTGCGACCAAATCGGTCTTTCTTCAAAGAGCTGGAAATCAATTTTTATTTAAGATCATTTTGGCCACAATTTAATTATATACAAACTTGTTGGGACACAAGGACACAATTTAATTAAAATTAAAAATAATATGTTGATGTAAATCTACAATGACGGCAAATGTAGTACATTTAAAATTTTATTACAAATGAAAAGAAAAACTGTTTTCAAAATTGCGTATCATGGAAAGAATCCAATCATTGTTAGCATTAAAATACGTTAACTTCTCTGCATTTCGAAAATAACCTCGCCAGCCTTTAAACCATTTTTCCGTTATCTAAAAATGTATGTGCAATTGAGAATACGCTTTAACTCACTTTTTTAACAATTTGAAACTCTTCTTCTAATGCAGAGTAAACAGACAGCCTTACTGCTTTCTGCTTCAGGAAGTACTCATGAGGTTCAGTGGGCAGGTCGTCGATTAAATTGAATTCATGTCGTGTCAGTGGTCGTCCACGCTCAACACGAAGTCTGCGATGGATGGTACCTTCATCATCCAGTTCAGTTCTCTTCTCACCGTAACGTTTGTCCGTATACGCATACGAGATAGGTTTATCCGATCTAGTGAAGCTATTTGGGACTATAAGTAGAGGACATGGAGTTCTGTAAAATAGAATTCTTCGCTAAGCAAAACTGTTATTGATACTGGTTTAGGTTCAATCGGATAGAAGAATTTTTTCTTTATGTCTTTTCGATCTTTTTATCAGTAATAATAAATTAAATCTACGGCAAGAAATTATACACAGAATTTTCACTTACGACATAACGTCAATGGAGTCTCTGCCACTCGGTAAGATTTTATCTAAAAGGCATTGGACTGAGCCTTTGCCTTCTCTGTGTACAGGCATGTACTGAAAGTCACACATTGCTGAAACAACAATAATATTATTTGAAAAATACAGGCAGACTACATCATAGTCATAATGCTGGTGGCTATCACAGCAACTGGTCAGGATTTACAAAATCTAAGTTAAATTTTTGTTTGAATTTTTAGGAATATTCTATTAATATAAGCTTTTAAATTACGTAGTCACTTGCACAGTCAATAGGATTTTGGACTGTCAAGCTTGATATGCTCTTGAACCTGCATATATCTATATAGTACAACTATTTTCTTCTGACATCTGAATGCACCCAAATACAAATTTCCATCTCTAGTAATCATTAGATTTATCACCTAATAATTTAAAATCCATGGATAACGATAAAACGATAACTCTCGTGTACGAGAACAAGTGTTTGTGGGACATGAGAGACAAAAATTATCATAAGAGATATTCTCAGCGAAGTGGGTGAAAGTTACTACAAAACGCAACACTGCTAAGTAAGTACAATTTTGTATTTATTTTGATATGGGGTATACATTAATTATATAAGCAATTGGAATGTTTAGCCTTGGATCATTTCATTATGTTGGAAGAAAAAATCGGGACAGCAGTAGTTGGTCAAATTTAATAAAATGTTTTTCATACAAAATTAATAAAATATATTTTTTTATGCTGATAGACTCAGTTTCCTAGAGAAATAATTTCATTGTATTGAAATAAATAAACCAGGCCAGCACCATATATCAATTATATACATTTTTATGGACAACTCACGCTTGACTAAAATTTATTAGGTCAAAATTGTTTTCACAAAAAATACATTATGGTTCCTAAGTCAGTTTCCTGTATCTCCTATTACGTCAGTTTTTTTTAATTTAATTGAAAATAATTTCCTCATATTGTCTCAGTTAAAAAAAAACACAGTACGCTCCCAAGCTTCTGTACTTCCAAGTTGATTGAGTGTGTCCTGTTTATACCAAGTGCAAAGGGCAATGACAGAAATCTGACAACAGCAGAGAAGATTGCCAAGGAATATTAAGGAAATAGTTACTTGAACTTTTTGTAATTTAACTTTTTCTCTTTCTTTCTCAATGAAACTTAACTGTGATGGTCATTTGTCAGAGGGACAAAAGCCAGTACAAGCGTAACAGTATGGTATGGTAAAAAGTTGGAGTTCTGCAACACAACATCTAAGTGTTTATTTTGTGTATAGTGGGTAATGGGTTCTACTTGTGCCACCCAAACTACTAGCATAACATAACTAAGCAACAAAGAAAGAGGGAAAGGAAACTTAGAAACTGACATTCAAATCTATAGATTTTCTTCACCCTGCCGAAGATGGATGTAGAAATGATTTCTCTTTGCACATCACTGCCCACTTTCTTCTTTTTGACTCTGACCTTCAGCAGCACACCAGCAGCTGTTTGAGTGTCAGCAAATATCCTCTTCACATAAGGGTTCTCTGGTTGATATGATAAGCCAAGGCGCTTTTTCTTTGGCTGTGAATACACCTGGAATAAAATTAGGAAAATGGATGAATCATTATTCAGCATGGAAGAATACATACGAGTACTTCACATAGACTGATTGCACCCAGCACGAGATTGGTTGGACTGGTTAATCAAAGAATACGCAAGAATGCTAGTTACCCCCCATTTACACGGCATTGTACTACACGTTTTTTGCAGTATAAATCTGAACCGAATAAACAGTGACGCATACATTAGATATAAAACTGCTCACATGGTATTTGTCCTGCAGAAAAACGCACACACATACAAACTCACATTGAATACTGCAAAAAAACGTGCAGTGCAATGCCATGTGAAGGTGCTGCCAGCTGGAATAATCCATGAAGGCATGCCCAGATGGAAATATATCCTGTGCACTGCTATTACAAATGTGACAATCTACTCCTTAGCAGTTACATACATTGTTAGGTGTGAATAACGTGCTGCTATTATTGTCACAGTCTAACAGGCCTGTTTTGACACCTGTGGGTCGATCAGGACCTTACACTGACTCAGTTGTCGATCGATTCGATTTGATATTGTACGATTTTTCTATTTTATCACAACACCCGAATCGAACGCCGAACTGTCATATTCGAAACCGAACAGAAATGACTTCACACCCATATGATTACTCAAACTTCTCCACCGGCAAAGGCTACAAACATTATTCAGAACACAGTTATCGAATGAAAGTTACCGAACAGCCTATTGTTTACAAAACAAGAATGTAATATGAAAATCTCTTATTATTTTAAATAAAGACTGGATATCGAGTTCTTAGGTTTTCGTGATTGTTACACATAGGAAATGAAACTATTTTTCCAGATTTAAATAGCGTATATTTGTTTTTTCAACCGACGTTTCAGGCTCTTTACAAGGTCCCATGGTCACGGTTGACTGAGGTGGCACAGTCTTCAAGCTGTTATGTCTAATATTAATGCAAACCACCCTATTTTTCACTATAGTTACAATAGTTATTAATTAAATACCTTATTTTTAATTTTACGAAGAAAACATCCCAATTTACGCTACATTAAGTTTTACAAATTATTTTATTGAATGAATCTTTATTAAGTTCAATTTATTATTAATTAATAATAAATTATTTTATTGAATGAATTTTTATTATTTCAATTTATTATTTATATATATTTGTAAAACTGAATGTAGCGTAAATATACACGATTTAAAGCCAGAAAAATTGTTTCATTTCCTAAAGTCTGGATTCAGTTAAATTTTAATAATTTATTTTAATGCAACACTAATGCATTCCTATATTTTAGGCCTTTAAAATTTTATATTTTCATTAAATATCTTATAATTTATTTCACCGACTAACTCCGTAAACGCTGTAGGATAACGATATCGTATCCAAATCCGAATCAAACATTTTAACTCAAATTTTCTGAACAGCTCCGAAAGCGCCTTTCAATCACGAAAAAAAATTAAATTCCAATTTAACGATTCAGTTAAAATATGGAAGAGTTCTGAATCAGGGTCCTGTTGTTGCAAAGTAACTTGGGGTGTAAACCAAACAAATTGACACGAGCAATTAATTCAAAATTTAATAAGTTTATTATAGTTCAGATTAATTTTAGGCTCAATTATTTTAAATTGTAGGTGGATCAGTTAACATTCATTGAAATTTAATTAACTGCGTCTGTAGCTAAACTGTTACCATGCTGGATACCATGCAGAGATCCCAGGTTCAATTCAATTACAAATGAGCATAAAGTCAACTTCCAAGTTAGCAAAAAGTCTGCACAGGTCCCGTGTCGGGTGCCGCTAGGTTGAAATCAGTATAGCCGGTTCAAAATTTGCAAAAGAAGAAACAAGGTAAAAGAAAAGAAACCTGGCATTGTAACTCTAGGTACTCAGCACTTTTTAATTTTATATTAATATTTAAATAAGTTATACTTTTTATGTGGAGACAAATTGAACAAGTCAAATTCAGCAATCAATTGATTACAACAGTATTATTAAAAAAAATAGATTGAGGATTTACATCCTTCTTCAAAAAAACAATTACTTGTTGAAATGTCTCAAAAAAACATTTTGTGTAATTCTAAGTTACATTTCATCATGGGAGTCACGCAAAATTATTACTTGATTTGTGTTTTGTTATATTACATAATGCACCAATAACATTAATGTCTTTTTTTAAACCAGATAAGTTCATAATAATTGTTTCCTTGATTACAATCAAAGTTGCATTCTATCGTCTCTTTGCCGTCAAAACGGGCCTACTACATTGTGTTAAATCATAATTACTAAAATTTCATAATTGTATTTTATACAAGGCTTGTTTCGTATTTTATACCATGAAGTCATAAACGGTAGGACAAACAAAATATCTGAAAAGTACAAACATTATACCTACCTGAGATATATTTTTAATACCACCCAGACACTGCAAAGCTTTTTCGTCATTGTTAACAATGCCGGGAAATAATACACACACCAAATCACGATTTAAATCAATTTCCCCCATCTACAGACCTTATTAGCGTGATTATATGTTTTATTATATGAATAGTCTCCTTTTAATAAATCGTTTTATAGTGAGTTTTAAATAAATGGAAACAAACAAAACACCATATCTTTCTTATTTAGCTTATTGGCGGAACCCTTTTTGGACTTCTCCAGTACGTATCGAGTATTCTGCTTTATGCTAAGCAAAGATATCTTTCTATTTTCTAATTTGTGATGTAATTGGGCAAACTGCAAAGAGAACAAGGTGAATTATGTGAACAACACAAACCAGTGAACATAACATAACCTCCCTCAAGTCCCTAACAAAATGACATTTGTGGTTTTTTTTTTGGCCTTTCGCCGTCAGCTATGACAAGATAAATTAACTTCATTTACAAACAGGGAAACGGGAGATTCTCACAGAACATTGCAATTGGCGAAATCGCCATTTTTTTGTATAATTTTTATAATAATATTAAACTACGGTACATAGTTATTTTTACTTGACATTGGCAAAATCATTGATTATGTCGATGGAGCCATAACATTTAAAAGAAGAAGAAACATGGAAACCTTTTCGTATTTTATGGAATTTTAGAAATGGAATTGCATGTTAGGAAACGTGTACAACATAGAAAATATTATATTAGTAATGATATAGAAACTGTCTACATTTTTATATTGTTTTCTACAATAAAGTTACTTAAATGCTTATAAACATGTGAATCATTACATGATAACAGTACCGAAATGGACGTAGGAAGAGGTATACCTGATTGGATATGGTTTTGGAAAAGGAATTATCATATTTAGGACAGTTTGAAAATATGTGGTCCAATCCAAATCTCCAACTTGGCCACATTCGCATAAATCACTATTAGGTCCAACATTACAAGAGCAAGACAAAGTATGCCATCTTCTGTTAACAATGCCAGAATCGTATGCTCCTATTATTACTGCATTAGAAACCGCTAATGTAAAACTAACAACAGATTATGTTAAGAGTAAGTTGTTAGACGCACAATTAAATTACCGCCACGAAGATACAGCACCAGTAAGTAGCAGTAACGAGTACAGCTTTACTAATACCAACTTTAAATCTTTAAATCTTGTGGGCAGCAAAATCACTATGCTCGAGACTGTCCCAAGTAAAACCCACAGAGAGGCTCATTTAGAGGAAGAAGAGGAAGAAACTATAAACGAGGTAATTACAGAAGATTAAAGAGAGGAAATTTCAATGCACATGTTACTGAAGATGATGAAACATACAACTTTATTGCCGAAACTTGTGAGGCACATTACACTCAAAATGTAAGTAAAATAAATATGAGTTTTGTAATTGATTCAGGAGCTATTTACAATATGATTTAGTTACAATTCATACATTATATGACAGAAATAGAAGACATTCCCGAAATCAAAATTAAAATTGCAAATGGGGATACAATCTCAGTAAATAAAATAGTAATTTTGAATGTAATTTCCGAAGACGGATCCAGAATAAACATTGAAGGGCTAATAGTAAGCGGTCTCTCACACAATTTACTATCAGTAAGAAGATTATTAAATAACGGGATGAAGGTTGTATTTGAAAGAGATATTGCTAAAATTTTCATGAATACCCGAATCATATGTGGCAAAAGTAACGGAAACCTATTCATGATACGTTTTACATTGAATCAAAAAGGTACCCAAGCTTTCTTAACCAAGTCAATCGATCCAAATGTATGGCATAGAAGGCTAGGTCACCTCAACTTCGGAGGCATGAGAGTATTAGACCAGCCCTTATCAGAAAAATTGTGTGAGACATGTATAAAAGCGAATGCAATGAGGAAGCCGTTTGAACTACAGGATTTGCCTCGTACTAAAAACGTTGGAGACCTTATATACTGTGATATAGGCGGCCCAATAATGCCTGTAACAAACAATGGTAAAAAGTATTATCTGACAATAATAGACGATCATTCGCATTTTACTGAGGTCTATAATATGAAACTAAAAAGTTAAGCATGTATATAATACAGTATCTAAACAGAATGAAACGAAACAATATAAATGTGATAAGAATAAGAACGGACAATGGCGGAGAATGTAAGGGAAAAGAATTAAAATATTATTGTAGCGAAAATGGAATAAAACAGGAATTTACTTGTAGCTATACGCCTCAACAAAACGGCATAGCCGAAAGAATGAATAAAACGCTGACGGATAAAACAAGGGCTTTATTTATAGACAGCAATCTACCGAAATATTTATGGGGTGAAGCTTGATGTTGTGCTACATATCAGCTAAATAGATCGCCAACTAAGGCACTAAGAGGTGACACACCGGCAAATATGATGTATGGAATAAATAAAATTAACAATTTGGTCATATTTGGAAGTAAGGCGTGGAGTGTAATATAAAAAGCCCAAACAAGGCAAATTAGAGCCGAGTGCCAAAAGAGGTCAGAATGGTAGGCTCTGGAGATAATGGTTATAGACTTTGGTCTCGAAAGACAGACGAGATAATAATTTCGAGAGATGTCAAGTTTGATGAAAGCAATTATGTTTATAATGATAACGACAGAATCGTAAATAAATCAAATGTAAATACACACGTGTATATTGACCAAAAAGAAGAAGAAAACGAACCAGAAGGCGAAAGTCATGCTGAAGCAGACATTGAGGATACGGTATCTGAGAGACCCAGGAGATCAGTAAACCTACCAAAACGATTTGAAGATTACAATTTATAGGTAGCGTATGTTTTAATGTCTGAGAATGATCCCGTAACTTATGAAGAAGCTATTCAAATGAGTTCAGAATGGAAAGTGGCAATTGATAAAGAATTAAACGCAATGAAAGATTTGAAAGTGTGGTCGGAGTTAGACCTTCCACCAGGTCAGAAAGCAATTGATACCAAGTGGGTTTTCCGAACTAAACAAGGAGGATTGAAAAAAGCGCGTCTCTTAGCGAGGGGCTTTCAACAAGATTTGGAATATATGACGAATCCCACACGCAAAATAGGCGCCTTGACGTCGAGTTGCGGACACCAGCCCGTTGCACCAAGTACCAAGTATATGACGAATCCTCATATTTATTCACCAAACGCCAAAATGACAACTGTACGACTTGCATTATCCCACGCAACTATGAATGGATGGGAAGTGTGGCAACTAGATATACCGACTGCGGTTTTAAATGGACAGTTAGAGACAGAGACGCATTTGCTACCACCAAAAGGAGTAGGAACAGCTAATAATAAAGTGCTAAAGCTTCAAAAAGCTCTCTATGGATTAAAAGAGTCGCCAAAACGATGCAACGAAAGATTTAACAAATTTTGCGAGAAAGTAGAAATAGATGAAAGCGTGATGTTTGTTTGTACTCAGGAAATAACATTTGGTTAGTTGTGTTTGTGGATGAAATATTGTTAACCGGAGATTCAATGAAAATAGAAAACACAGTGAAATTATTACGAGATGAATTTAAAGCTAAAGATATGGGAAAAGTTACCAGCTATCTGGGTATTGATATTACACAAAATGAAAACAATATATGTCACAAACAATATTTTTGATAAAATTTTACAAAAATTTAACATGGTTGACTGCAAAACAAGTGAAACATCAATGGAGAACAATTTTCAAGGTAGCGATATAGTGGAGGAGATATTAAAGAATGTTCCATACAAAGAACTAATTGGGTTACCAGACCTGATATTTGTTATGGAACACCTTTTTTAAGCAGATACCTAGATAAACCTACGGAAAAAGTATGGAAAGCCGCTAAAAGAATTTTAAGATTTTTGAAGAAAACTTCAACTTTAGTTTTAATGTATAGGCAACAGTCACGTAACGCTATTATCAGCTTTTCAGACGCAGAACTGGGCCGGAGATAAAGACAGAAAAAGTGTTAGCGGTATGGCTATTTATCATGGTTCAAACCTAATTTCTTGGACGTCTAAGAAACAACAAATCGTAGCCCTGTCTACTGCCGAAGCTGAATACATATAGTGCTTCCGAATTATTATTTGTAAAAGGACTTAATGAAGAGTTCAGTGATACAGTTAAATTTGAGGCAGTCCTATATTGCGATAATACCAGCGCAATTAAGATGATACATAACTATGAAAATACCAAGAGGTCGAAGCATATAGACATAAAGGTACATTTCATTAAAGACATTGTGGACAAGAAGTTGTTGAGTGTCAAATATGTGGTGACTAAAGAAAATATAGCAAACATTTTTACTAAAGCTTTATACAGAGAGAGTGAAATTTAATTATTTTAAAGATAAGTTGTGTTGTGTGAATATTTTATAAGTTTATTTATTTTTCAAATGTCAGATGTCAGTTATTTTTTAAATTTGGATTGATAGGTAAAAATAAAACATCAAGTTTTATTTGTAACAATTTTAAAGTTGTTAGCAAACTTGGAATTGAAGGGGGGGTATTAGAGTTTGTATACTTAGAATAATAACGCATAGAAACCTAGCCCGCACACGCCAAGTGAGGCAAATTGTAGGGCGCCCTATGGGCTTACACGAGCGAGCGGGCTGTCAGTGCTCAAGGTCAAGTTGTACCGCGAACAGCTCAAACATTTTTGCTAAAAATGACGAAAAGTACGGTAATTGGGTTTAAAAATAGATCAGACAAACATAAAATAGACACTAACATCACATTCCACAAGGAAGTAACGCGTTTCAACGTGTATTTTTATGTAAATATTCACTAAAACAGAAAATTAATTTCGTTGCAACAAGATACGAAAATGTTGCAAAGTAACGGGTTTTTTCTCCCCATTTTGCTATTCTGTTTCAAAATAATTATATTACGTAATTTGAGAATAGGCAATAGGAATCGCGACAGTTGCAAAATTTCTACAAATGTACACCGCCGCAACAACATTGTAGGGAATATAAGTTAGCTATTTTAACGAAATATATTTAGTATTTGCCTTCATTAGTTTCATGTGAAAAATCATTATTCTTGTTCATCATGCACTCATTTAAAAAAATGGTCTTGTTCAGACTCAAAAGTTCTTAACTAAATTATTTCAGGGAACTAACACTGACTAAAAAGTAATCGTCAGTTCTCCAAAATCGTGTATAAATAACTTTCAGGTTCAGGTTCTTTATTGTTATCGTGTACTTTTCATGTAAACATACCCACAGATAATATCAGGCTATTTATATATTCAAATTCGATAGTCGCACTTAAACTCGCTTGTAGGTTTTTGTTCATATAATGAGTTAAATAAAAATTGGGTAGTATTTAATAAGGTGCCTACAGATTTGCTCGACATTGTCGATTGACAGTAACGATTGAGAATTATAGACGTTTTCGAGAAGTTTTAGAGTGCTTATTACGAATGTAGCATTAATTTCTAAATCCAAGATGGTTGACAACAATTTTCAAAAATGTATTTCTGGTAAACCATAAGGAAAATGGCATGTATATCTGAATACAAGATGGCGGACAAGACTTCTAATTCTTCTTCTTCTAATTCTTCACCATCTAGGATTTAGAAATATGTGCTATGTTCGAAATGAGCAGCCCCAAATACCTTGAAAACGACACCCAACTTGCCATTATTCGAAAAATCGTGCCCGCCATCTTGGATTTACAAATAGTGCCATATTCACATTGAGCATCTCCAAATACCTCGAAAATGAAACCCATATAGCATTTTCTTGAAAAATCGTGCCCGCCATCTTAGATTTAGAAATAAATGCTATATTCGTAATGAGCACACCCCAAATACCTCGAAAATGATACCCATATTGCGTTTATTTGAAAACTCGTGTCCGCCATCTTGGATTTAGAAATAAATGCTATATTCGTAATGAGCACCCCCAAATACCTTGAAAACGATACCCAACTTGCCATTATTCGAAAAATCGTGCCCGCCATCTTGGATTTAGAAATGAGGGCCCTATTCGTAATAAACCCCTCAAATACCTCGAAAATGATTCCCACATTGCATTTATTTGAAAAGTCGTCTCCGTCATCGTGTATTCAGATATAAATGTAATTTCCATAAGGATTACCAAAAATAAATTTTTGAAAATTCTTCTCACTTGACATTGTCGTTCGACAGTAACGATCGACAGAACCGAGAATAGCTGTAGGCACCTGATCGACAAAATCGAGCAAATCTGTAGGCACCTGATCGACAATGTCGGGCAAATCTGTAGGGACCTTTAACTTAATGATGAGTTAAGCAAGATACATATTCCCCATTTTTGTGTGCGTGCCGACGAACGTTACAAGTTGCCTACGGCACATGAATTTGATTTTTGCCTCACTTGTGACAGTTCGTTTCATATGAAACTATCATTCTATGCGTTATTATTCTAAGTTTGTATATACATATATAATAGTTTATAACGTAAGCTCGTGTCATGTTGACTTTACGGTTTTGGCCAGTTGCGTATTTGTGTTCAAAAAAAGATGTCGAAAAAAATAAATTGATACATTTTCAGTTACATAGTGCCTAATTTTCTTTCCACAAACTTGTAGAACTTCGAACATACCATATTAGATTATGGTTTTGGAAAAGTAAAGAATTATCATATTTAGGACAGTTTGAAAATATGTGGTCCAATTCAAATCTCCAACTTGGCCACATTCGCATAAATCACTATTAACAATGTTCAATTTCGGGTGTGCAGGAGTACAAACATGACCCAACCGCATACGAATCAAAACAGATGTTGTCAATACAGTTGCATTGAGCATTAGTTAGGTACACCATGTTAGCAGCTTACTATGACTGAACGGCGGCGCGGGCAGTGACAGCGTTGGGATATGGAAAAAATTCCATTTTAATAAAATCGTATTTTTCCTTTCATTTTCCACACTTGACGTTGACATCTATCAAGAGTTGAAATTACTGAACGAAAACGATGGAGCCAACAAGTGGTGGTGGGTGGTGTGGTGGTTGAAGATTTTTCGCTGTTGTGATATTATTATAAATCTCGTTTTTCTAATAATGTGGCTTTTAGCTAAACAAAATAAAAAACTTAGCCCTTGTATTTATTTCTTGTAATTTATTTATATACCTTAAATTGTAATTTTAAAATTCCGTTCACTCACTCTAGTATTAAAATATTACGATCTCTCATTTGAAATCCGACATTCTAAGGCCCAACTCACACTGGTGCAAAGTCGAAGCGACGCGTCGCGTCCGTTTTTCAACTACAAAGCCTGGTGACGCGCGTCGTCGCACGACGACGCTCGCATTAGTGCGTCTGTCTGACGCCTCACTGCGCCCAAGTAACGCGCGGCGACGCGCGAAACCGCTCGATTTCTACCAAGCGTCGACGCGTCGCGATGCTTCGACTCTGCGGGTCGTATTATAGAACTCTACTCAATGCTCAAGTCAGGATTGCACTGGAAACACAAGCACTGGAAATACGACCGCAATGGCAGGGACTTGAGTATGATTTCGAGTGCTTTAAACCATACTCAAGTAGTAGTAATAGTAGAGTTCTAGAATACGACCCTTCGCCAGTGTGAGTCGGTTTAAGTCTATATATAAATAACTTCCAACACGGTTCTAGTCTGAAATGTGTATATACATATGTATATATATATGTGTGTGTGTATGTATTAGTAAGTATAAATTTATTTAGATATATTTACATATACATATATTTTCGTAAGTATATCGTTATTTATTAAATATTTGATAAATTACTGTTTTTATTTAATTTATTTATTTTGTACTTTTTTTATTTATACAACTAATTTATATTTTGTTTATTTGCAAAATTCGCACACTACGTCTGCCGCTCCAATTAGCTTACCTCTACCTCAAAGGTTGTCTGGAATAGATCGCTCTTAGCATTGGAGCGGGGAGAGAGACGCATGCACACACATAAGGTTTAGTATTTTTGCAGAGTTGTGTACATGAAGGCTAGTGATTTATTTAATAATAGCTCGTTAGTATTCATTCAATTTCATTTATTATTTACATCTTACATACTACGGTACTTAATTAAGTTCTATTACCTAATTTAGTAAAGATTGCAGGCAACAAGCTGGATATATACAGCTTAAATATGGCAACAAAATGCAGTTATGATACTTCAAAACTACTTTAATATAATTTTATTCAGCCTGCTTGAGATTTCGTCAAGTGTTTGTTTCTACAAAATTGTATGTTTTTTTTTATTTCGGCAGAAGAGCTGGAGTCGTGACTCCGCATCGGAAACAATAATTTTTCTCTAAAATATAACACTTTTAAATTGTCCGTGAAACTGCGTGGATCCAAATTCAATCAGCATTCACAATAAATTGATTCAATATTATTGTCGATGTGCCACAGCTTCTACAGCAACTAATAGCCTGGAAATATTAAATTAGGTAACGAAATTTTTTTATAAACATAACAGAAATTTTAAACATATTATCTATACACTTACTTTTCCAATAAGACATTTCTGTGTCTCTCAATCTCAATTCTATCTTTCTCCATTTTCAGTCTAATATTGTTGCACCTTTTTTTCTCAAGTAGCTTCTGTTTTTCAATTCTTATTCTCTCTTCTTCTAGATTTAAAAGTCTATCGTGAACAAGTCCTAGAATGGAAATATGTCCACTTGCACCAAACTTAAGTATGTCTTAAACCATTGCTTAAATTATCTCCTAACACAACATACTAAGTGTCTTTTGCATTGAAAGCATTGATTTAGACAAACTTAAATTTAGTGTAAGTGAATAGATGAAGTAATATGAGTGTTATTAATTAAGTTATTATGACTCATAAACAATAAAAATAGTTATAGTTTATGACATGGAATGTATAAAATATGTATGATAATGGGAATCAAATACAAGCTTGCCAGCCTTTAAACAGTGTCAAAAATCTAGAGCATATTTTTTCAAACAATAATACTTACGAACAGGTCTATTCCTCTTCCACAATGGTTTACTAGCAGTAGGGGCTGAAGATACCTCATTTGATCCAAGAGCTGTGTCAGGATCCATTACCACTCCCCCTTCAAGGCTCATTTCTAACTCTGTTGGATTAAAATGGTGGTCTGTTGACCATTTCTGAAAGCAAATGGGTTGCTCTTTAGTACTTTTTAAAAAACTAAAGCTCCACATTCATCACTGTACTTGTTTAAATGTGATAGGGAACATGTTTGTAATTTAATGCCTTATTTAGCATACATGTTAGCCAACATATAGATATTTTATGTCATATGTGTTAAATGACAATACATGTTAGCTAGCATCAAGATTCATAGCACACATGTTGGCTAACATGACCAACATGGGCAGTGTTAAAAACAGTATAAATGACATAATTTTTCATAAAACTTTTATGTAACCTTAAGACCTACCATTGTACTTGTTGGATCAGCTCCACATAGATCATCAGCTGTTGCATTGCTTGGAGCTGACACCTGGAAAATATAGATTCAGTATTGAAAAGTACTCTTTTTTGAAGTATGTAATTTTTGGAGGAGGTTCTCTCCTCCAAAAATTACATACTGTTGATAGCAGTACAACATTGCTATCAACATAATAGTAAGCAATTATTAATGGTGTTGACAAATAAAAAAGAATTCCGTGTTCAAATCAAAAGCTACTAAAAGCAAGTTTTTTCATATTTACCATAGTGTTTCCATTGATAGTAGTTTCAGGTACTCCTGATAACCCAAATACAGAAGTATTAGTGCAGATCAGTCTCAATATCTTCTCTTCAGCTTCTGTCAGTTGAGCATTTGAATTACAACCTGGTGTAAAACGATTTTTACGGATTTTGAATGCTTTTTTCTTCACATTCGATTTCCAGTCTCTCCATGTCTATAAAAGTCAGAATTACTAGGTTAACTTTGTACAGATATTATTATATTACATTTTTTCACAGCCAGTTTTGGTGAAATTACAGGCACATGGGACTTTCCAACTTGGTCTCAGGGTGACGGGCGCAGTGGCACTGCCCCTCAGCACTTTGCCATTTAAAGCTCTGAGTGGTACTGCAACTGTTGTGGACAGCCGTGATGTTCACCTTCCAGCACTTGGTCTCATAAAATGATATGAATTTTGAGAGAAAACTTTAAAGAATTCGAAATGAAGAGCTGTTACAAATTGTAGTTACTTGTTGCCATTTATCAGGAGTCTTTATAGCACCGGAGCCAAAACCTGAATTCGCATTAAGTTTTTCCGTAATCTTGATCCAAGCGTTTGTTTGGCGTATCCTGCCCTCTAGTCCTGTAAATTTCCCTACAGCCAGTTCTTTGTCTTGCTCCAAAAACTGCAGAAGCATATTCAATTGCTCAGGACTTGCTTTGCGTCTCTCCATGACAAAAATGTTATATTTCAAAAAAACTAATGTATAAAGAAACGTAACTGTGTTGTTGAACTATTACTAAATCATTAGCAATGACGAAAACTCTATATCAAATTCAGAAAAACCGAACAAAAACAGCTCTGTCTACGAAAACAGTTTTCAGTTTTGTTTTGTTTTTTGACATTTTCGTTCTGAAACACTATTTTAGTTTATTTATTTATTGCCGCAACAACTGCTATAGTGTTTTAAAAATAATTGTAATACGTTTAAAAAGAATTCTCTCTCTTGACATTTTTCAATAATTTGAAATTAGCAACACTGGTAGTGGTGACGTTTTCGTGAGCGACTGGACGAAATTCATTGAAAAATCGCATTAATTTAACTTCGTCTCCCAGAAATCGTAGGATATCTTGTGTTAGGCACGAATATGTTCAGTTGTTTAACTTGCACGTGCGGCTTATGATAGTTTTCACTTGATAGATTGTGTGAATGTTGCAAACAAACGTCATGGGTGTACCGACGTTGGTGGCTTGCGCATTATTACTTTTAACGCCTGCTAAAGGGTTTTATTTACCCGGTTTGGCGCCCGTGAACTATTGCACCCAGGCCGAAGACAATGGGAAATCCTGCAAGGTGAGTTAAAGTATAAAACACGGAACACCGGCTATTAACATCCGACCCCATGCGGCCGTAGGATCCATCACTTTTATTACTCAGTAATAATTAACCACATTAAACATTTGAAATTGCGATAAGCAGTTTCCGATAACAGAAAGTGAATTTGTTAAATTATATTCAAATATTGACTAAAAATTCTATTTTAAACGTAATTGTTTGACTTTATGTATGCTGTCGTATATACATATTTTCATGTTTTATTTCAGAGTGTAATTCCTCTGTTTGTAAACAGACTAAACACTGAAGAATCAGTGATACCATTTGAATATCATCATTTTGATTTCTGTGTATCTGATGAAACACAATCACCAGTGGAAAATCTTGGTCAAGTAGTGTTTGGAGAACGAATACGTCCAAGTCCATATAAACTCAATTTTAAAGAGAATGTTGAGTGTAAAGCAGTATGTACTAAGACATATCGACTGTCGGACCCAGAGGCCCACAAGAAGCTAAATTTACTAAAGGTGGGCGCAGGGCTGTATTATCAGCACCACTGGATCCTTGATAATATGCCTGTGACCTGGTGCTACCTGGTCAATGATGGAGGCAGGATTTATTGCAGTACTGGATTTCCTATGGGCTGCCAAATCAATAAAATTATGGTGAGTTATTTATTTGTCATGTATATATACATATAGTTATATTTTTGTTGTTTTATTTTTTTTTATATATATTATATGGTGAACAGCTATGGAGTGTAATTTTCTCTCTGCAAACTTACTCCCTGAATGCTATAACTTGGGCCTTCTCAAGGTGAGCACAAATAGGAATTATTTAGGTATGCATGCTTCATTGTCAACCTCATTACCACTTTTGATCAGGTGAGATGGAGGTCAGACGCATATTTATTTTTTTATAAATTTAAATAAAATAAAAAATATCTAAATAAAATATTATTTAGTTTCTATATTTTTTAACCCATCCTTGTGCCTGTGTATTCTATTTAAAGCTTATCTAGCTATGAATAGTTGTCACATAGTCGACATTGTTATAGCATATTCAACAATATCCATCTAGTTATATAGGTTGCAATAGCTAAAGCTACATATAACTTATGTTATGCAAGTACTATAGACCAACCTAAAACAATAACAAAGTCTCTTTATGGCATTAAGGATTGTGTATTAAAATTCAATCTAAAGCAATGATGACTAATCTTAAGAGGAATGTTTTCCAAAGCTATTGTTGTAGTTTTAAATTTTTGTCTTTTATTTTCCCATCACTGGAATCTTAAATTCTTTAACATTCCTAGGAGTGACTGCTAGTGCTGAGAATATTATATTTTATTAGAGTAGAAATTGCTTCACATTGGGGAATTCCAGGTAATAGATTATTAAAAAAAGAATAATAATTTATTTGTCCAAGCTGAACAGTTTCTTCTTTGTTATCGAATTAGGACACTACACACAATATAAGTTAATGTATGTATTGTGAAGATTATTTAAGTTTTTGATTGCATGTTACAGAAACAGAATATACCATATAAATATTAAGTTACTTAGTTTATTTTATTTTCTATACATGTACACATCTGTTACTCATCCGCTGTAGGGTCCACTCAAAACCAGCATTATAGCATATTCTGGGGTGTGGCTTTAACTGAATAAGCTTTCATTTGTGTACGTCACAGCTGCAACTTACATCCGAAAGTAGTTCAAATTGTTTTGTTTTTTTGTTGTTTAAAATGTTTGCCTCATTGTTTTTGTTTTCAGTTTTGTTTTAATTTATTCTTTTTTTTTATAAATGTGTTATAGTGTTGCAATAAATATAACATAGTTGATGGATCTAAAAGTTCCGCCATGAGTGGGCTCAGGTGGTAGAATAGGCGTTCTTTGTTTTTAGTTTTATGTTGATTGATCCAAAAGTTACTGATGACATGTTTAGGTGATCATTATTAGGTTGAAGTGACTTGGCTTAATTTTTTTTACAGTTCCTATGTAACTATAATTGATAACTTCTTGCTTCGTTCATTATATCTTTTATAGAGACTTAATACAGATCTTAATGTATTTTGACATTGACCTGACATTTTTACACACATTTACTGTTTGTGTGACTGTTTCATACAGATTTTTGACTTGAATAAGATAAAATTGTTACAATTTTATTTTTTCCTGCATTTACAGTTTAGCTTTTACACACATTTATTTATTTATATTTGAGAAATTAACAGCTCAAGTGACATTGATGTAGTTACAATCAACAAAGATACTACTATTCACACACATTGTTATGTTTTATTCGCAAATGTTTAGTCAATGGAGATTATTATCTATCCCTATTTTACCCACTGGAAGAGGAGCATGATAATAAAATGTGTTATACGAAATTGCGGTAGTAAAACAGAAGTGGGTATTATTTGCTCTGTTGAAAATTTTTTCATAGATAATTTTTCATACAAACTTTTCTCTATGGGGTGAATGCACAGAGTGAAATTGTTATTCCAAATTCCGTTTGTTTGCCACTCACAAGGAAAATCCAAAACACGCAGATAAAAATCTTTCATAGATAATTACTGAAACAAGTTCTTTTTATTATACTATACCTATGGTACAACTATGCGGCGAGGATTCTGAAGGCAATAATATGCTGTGCAGACTTGGTTTGCACAGTACTAATTTACAGCCAGAAACAGTGGTGTAAAAGATCACTTAATAAAATAAATTAGCACGGACCATTAATTAAGGTATCTTTCTGCAACATTCCACTCCTTGTCGTGGAATGTTTCCTAGCTAAGAAGCAGATTGACTTGAATGGTTTAATGCACATTTGTTTATTATACAGGATACCTGCACGCCGATTGTCAATGCTTACCCTGGGCCAGTGGACGAGTACTACATTTTCAACCATGTCGATTTGGAAATAACCTACCACAGCGGTGGTGAAGAAGAATGGGGTGTCGGCTTCGGCGATAATGGCGGACGCATCATATCGGCTAAGGTAAGAATTCATAAAAATTGCTAAAGCAATTGACTAGTGTCTTAGCTCAGCGTAATCAATCAATCCAAGGCCGCAACACTGCGTGTTCGGCTACTAACGACAGTGTGAACACATTCAATGAAACTTCTTAAATGTGACTATGTGCTATACAACAAGTAACGAGCTTAATAACGTCTATAAATAGTTTTTCGGTATCAAACGCCATAATCCTCTATAGATTGCTGAACAAATGAAATAATAGTGGTAAAGCATCAGGACATTATGCTTGAGATGGAAAGCACTGCCAGTGAACACAGTATGTCACAAATTGCAAAAATTTTATTAACTCTTAATTTATTTGGTGCTTGGATCACTATGGAACATGTCACCTCATTAAAAAAAAAATAGTACATAAAAAAATCTTCAATAGAATCCAAACAGATACATCAAAATACTACCTAACGAAACTTGTGTACAAAAATCTTCGCGGCACTACTTGTTGGCTCAGTAAAAACGAATTAAAACTTCCCAATTTTAAATGTACCAAAGAAAATAGGCCCGCGCCTGTACACTGAACCAGCATTCTGATAAGAAACGTCGTCCCTGCTTCTAGGTTATGGAATAATACAGTCCAAAATAAATACCACAAGATTACCATAATTGGTGGTTACACGCAATTGGAAATTCTACACGCGATTAAATAAGCATGTTGCCAATATTTGGTGAATGAATGCCGTACGTTTCGTTACAAGTTTCACGAAATTGCGTATCAATTAAAAAAATCACAGTATTAAAAAAGACCTTGAGCAAAAAAATTGTGATCGAATCATTAATTGTAAATTAAAATCTGCCGATAACCATCAAGCGATCGCATCGAAGTGTAGTGTGTCTAGCACGAAGCGTATTATAATAATACATGCTAACATTTTGTCTGTAGATATAAAGCGTGCTATGTACAGGGCAAAGAGCACACTAATCTTGACACTTGGACTATTATTATCGTAAGCTGTATATATAGTAGAATTTAAATCTTTGAGAGTACCTTGACCCTATATTTATAAAGTACTTTATATAGAAAAAATATTTTAGTACTATGGGCTACGACCCACACTTACATAGAATATGTCAAAATGATTGAAAATTGTAAATCAATGGTGCCATTTATACGTAGGTAGTTAAAATATGCATATGAAAAAATTTACAGTTTCTGTACTTTGTGTCTGATACTGATTGTACTAAATATAACAAGCAATTTTATTACACTTTATTTGCCATCGCGTTTTAACTATATAGTTTTGGAACAGTAATTTAAGGCCTAAGCTGTTGATTACATAAAAAATCTAAAATATTTTTTATCTTGTGGTTTTCCGCCTAAAGCGGGATAACTATTCTGGGTGACATTTTATTAGCGTGCTTCATAAAAGTAGTTGAATTAAGAATAATAACGCATACACTCAACAAAGCGCCGGCCGCACTAGTGAAAACCCTGTGTCGCGGGTACCATGGTCACATACACATAGGCAACCACAAATTACACCCAAACTCACGAGAGAAATAAATGTAGGCCATATTCGGTTACGGAGGCAGTTAACATTTGAATTATAATCAGTTGTTGACTCTCACATAGACGAGCAACATCCTAGTGCAATTTAACAATACGAGGATAACTAGAAAGCAACCAAGTGTGATACACTTTTATGTATTTTAAAAACAATTTAAGTTACAATAAATTAGGATGATTTTATCACGATACATTTACGGTCTTTTTTATCATGATAAGAGATTTATGTCTACAATACGAAATAGAATAAAATACCCTGTATAAACCATTATTGTTACATGGTACAGAAAATTTATAATTATTAATACAAGGATCGAACGCAAAGAAAAATTCCTTCTATCCCGCTGGACTCAAACCAGCGACCACGTCAAACCGGGGCTATCGCTCTCCCAACTGAGCTACAGAACCAGTCAGCAAACTTTGCGAATTTCTCTATTTGCTTGTTGCAGATGTTTGTTTTTAGTTTTGACGACTTTTAAAAGTCATTAAAACGGTATTGCCAAGTCGCTGGTTCGAGTCCATCCGGATCGAAGGAATTTTTCTTGTATTCGATCTTTGTATTAAAAATTATAACAAACTATTGCAATAATTTCACAAAAATAATTGAATATCATGGTAGTAAAATATCGTGATACTGGAAGTGAACTTTTTTTCCGGGTTTAAATCGCGTGTATTGGTTTTTACAAACAAACCGTGACCATGAGACCTGTAAAGGACCCGAAACGTCGCCGTCGGTTTATTTGAAAAAACAAAATGTACGCGATTTAAATCCGGAAAAATAGTTTCATTTCCTATGTGTAACAATCGCGTAAACCCAAGAACTCGATATCGTGGTACTGAATAAAAAGAATATTTATGTTTTATGTTAAAATTTAGGTCAAAACATTTAGCCTTACGATGCATAGCGTTTACCACGAAGTCTGAGTTAGAAACATTCACTCTTATCAATGTTCCATCAGTTCCAAGATATTGTTACAAAGATAATACATTTTTAACATTGATATCATAATCCTTACCTGTTTCTGCCGCCAAACAGTAATGTCCGCATTACTATGTTCCGGTTTTGAAGGGTAAGGGTGCTGGTGAAATTACAGGCACATGGGACTTGTCAACTTATGTCTCAAGGTGACGGGCACAGTGTTAGTGCCCCTCAGATGTTTGCAATTTAAAGCTCTAAGTCGCACTGTAACTGTTATGGACAGACGCGTAGCTTACCATCAGGCGCACGACTTGTTCATACAATCACAACCTTATATCAGTAAATTATGTAACAGTCTGCCGCCAAGCAGTAATGTGAGCATTACTACGTTCCGGTTTTGAAAGTTAAGGGTGCTGGTGAAATTACAGGCACTTGTTACCATAGGTCTGGGACTTGTTAACATAGGTCTCAGGGTGACAGGCGCAGTGGCGGTGCCCCTCAGATCTTTGTGATTAAAGCTCTGAGTAGCACTGCAACTGCTTGACTCGCTTCGCATCACTTGGAAAGGAAAGTCAACTGGTCATAAATATACCCTTCCTACAATGTGTTAATTTGCATTCTTGCCATATTTACAGAGGTCATTCTATATCCGAAACTGAAACCAAATGGAAAAAAAATTTCGTAAATTTAAAACACAAGCACTGGAAATACGACCCTAATGGCAGGGACTTGAGTATGATTTTGAGTGCTTTAAACCATACTCAAATCCTGACTTGAGCATTTAGTAGAGTTCTAGAATACGACCCATAGTTAAGAAATAAAGGGTTATTTGATTAGTGAACCTCAGTGAAATCCCTACTATAAATCATTATTATTACCTCCAGGTGAAACCAGCCAGTATCGCCCATACGGACCCCAACAAACCAGTCTGTAGCAACCACGTACCACTTAAAATCCCCACCAACTTCTCTAAGGATGAGACCTTTTTTATCACTTACACATACAGCGTCACCTTCAACAAAAACAACACCATCAAATGGTCCTCGAGGTGGGACTACATCCTCGAATCGATGCCGCAGACGAACATCCAATGGTTTTCTATACTTAATTCGCTCGTCATAGTACTATTTCTTAGCGGAATGGTCGCCATGATTCTGCTCAGAACCCTACATAAGGATATTGCAAGATACAATCAAATGGAAAGCGGAGAAGACGCACAGGTAATTTTTTTTTTATTATACGATTTTGGTTTTTTTTAATGTTGGTATACTACCAAATAACCATTGAAAGACGTGTGAAGAAACGTACCGCCGTTATTGGTTTATTTAGCTTTTTTACAGATTGGTATAACGTAAGAAAGAGGGTTCCTTTGTTATGTTTATTTTAATGGCGCATTTACAACGGGTCGTCTGCAGACCTTCGGCAGACTACTTCGCCTTGCCGAAGGCGAATCACCTAGTCGCTACCGTCAGTTTCGGCTGCAAACTACCGTCACTTACTATTACTAACACCGGGACTTGGTGTAAATGCCCCATAATATTATCATAGCTTCCTTAACATTTATTTTACTTGTAGTAAATTAATTTATAATGAAGTGAACTTATTTTTATCATATATTATATTATTAGCGTTCACTTAATTATTGTACCAAACGTTCTTATCGTTGCAGGAAGAGTTCGGTTGGAAGCTGGTCCATGGAGATGTGTTCAGACCACCTCGCCGCGGCATGCTGCTTGCCGTATTCCTCGGATCCGGGTCACAGGTTCGTGAAACGTCATTATTACCTTCCCCTGAAACAGAGCGTAGTTTGAAAGCAATGGAATGCTTAGAAACTTCAAAAACATTTTGATTTACTATACAATTTCTAACTGCACTAAAATTACATACATTAGGTATACTACTGATATGTAACGGACCTCCGCTTCTGCTTCCGAAACTGCGGAAAGTCTGCACGTCTTTAAACATCTGCTTTTTTTACTGCTTCTGCGACTTTATAACGGAACTTTAATCGGTTTACAACGCGAGGAGGATGCGGCGCACATTTTATAGCAGTTTTATGTTGAACTAAATGCAATTTTTAACTGCCTCTATGGCCGAACGGTTACCATGCTGGACTGCCACGCATAGGCCCCGGGTTCGATTCCCGGACCGAGAGAAATGTTTGTTTAGCCTACATTTATTTCTCTCGTGAGTTCGGGTGTAATTTGTGATTGTCCATGGCACCCACGATACAGGGTTTCCCTAATGCAAAGTCATGAGTGTGTGTGTTATTATAAAAAAATATATATATCACACCAGAAACATGTCGTGTTTCGGAATTATTTCGTGGAGATATTTACAGTATTTAACACTTTCGGTTCCATTTCCGCTAAGATGTACTTTTGACATCTGTTTCCGTTATGACATTTCGGTTTCATGACAACCTTGTACTACAGCAGTATTTCAGAATTTACCCCAATTTTCCAGGTATTCGGCATGACTCTAGTGACGTTGGCGTTCGCATGTCTCGGGTTCCTGTCGCCGGCGAATCGCGGCGCGTTGATGACGTGCGCGCTGGTCGTGTGGGTCCTGCTCGGCGCAGCCGCTGGTTATGTCAGCGCTAGGATCTATAAAAGCTTCGGCGGACGGCGCTGGAAAAGCAATATCCTACTTACTTCTATGGTCTGCCCAGGGTTAGTTTTTAAGAAATAAAATAATTTCTTTTAACCTGGCGAAGATGAGGTGGGGTCATTATTACTCTGTAGATTTTTAATCGAGTACAGTTTTTATATGCTGCACATTATTATTATTGATCTCACGTTATTCTACCAAAATAGTTTAACTAGGAGGAGAAAATAATAGTTTCGTTTATTTTTTTATGGCATGGAACGAAAAGGTACGTTTAGTAAAATTAGTGTGATTATAAAATTTGTACAATAAACTGCATTTTTTTAATGAAATGTCCTTGAAATATTGCGCTATACGTATGCTAATATATTTTGTTAAAAATTTCTAATTTATATATAAAAAATGTAAATGAAATATGTGGTGATAATGACCCTCCTGAACCTAGACGTACTCTTTTCGTACCACATCCTTGCCGGGTTAAATTACAACTACAGTAAATACTGCACTCTAAAGTCAGTGGTGGCACTACCTAAAGTAACGCTTTATCAAGAGTACATACAATAATGTAATTATGAATTAATAGAATTGTGTTATATACAGAATGATCCAATAGACACAACAATATCAATTAGTGAGGGCACTCATAACAATGATTTTTTTTAGAAGCAGTTTCAACACAATGTGTCCTCCAGAGAAACATCCTGTACACACCCATACATACAAATATAAGTGCCTACAAATAAGTTCAACTAACTGCCCATTTTTAAGTATTATTTGTATTTGTTAACTGATTTTTTTAAATTTATTGATGACAACATTTTTGAAAATGCCGATGCCGATGATCCGTGTGCCAAGAATATTATTATTCATTTTAAAAAATTGATATTTTTGGACCGTAAATTAAATAATTGTATTAAATAATTTTTTAAGCTATACAATGGTGATATTTTGGTTTGTGGCTTAGTTAGTTACTTTCACACAGTTTCGTAATTACTGATTATTCTGATCGCCTGTAGAGAAAACTAGTCATTGACTGCACACGTGGTAACCCAAGGCAAGTCAATACAGATTGATAAAAGAATAGAAATTTTGGTTTCGAAATGGATTCTGGATACATCCCTGTTTGTGGTTAGTAAAGTTTTGAAAATAGCAATGCATGATGAGACTTTACATATCGACTGTAAACTGGCAACCAGTACTATCTCAATTTTGACAACTTTACAGATGAAGAAAAAATAATTTATATATGTTCCAGTTTATTAAATAAAAATAAGTAGTGTACACACATGTGTAATAAAAATATTTATAAACTACGTATTTTTATTTAATTTATCAGATGCTATATAAATGATGCATACAATTTTTTTCTTTATCCTGTAAAGTTGTCAAAATTGAGATAGTACCGATTGCCAGTTCAAAATCGATATATCAAGTTTCGACTGTGCTGTCAGTGGCTTCCTAGAATAGCAACGTATCTAAAAATAATGTTGTTCATCAAATAGCAGGTAATAACGTTCCAATGTTGTCATTATTTATTGGATTTGGTGGCTTTGCCAGGTCTGTTCATTTATATTAAGTTGTTCAGTGTGTAATTTAATTTTGACTTTTTTATGAATTTACATGAAATTGGAATGCGATTATAGGTCTATAGTCTCTGCCTACCCCAGTGGGAGGCAGGCGTGATTATATGTATGCATGTCGTATCTAACGGACAATCGTATATAGAGCGAGTTAAAAAGTTGGAATTGGATTGGGGTCGTTGGTGTAGTGATATCGCGCGCCGCTAAATGTCACCTGTGGATAGAAAACAGTCTTATTTAGTGTTCTTTAGATGGCAGTGAACAAAAGGAGTGTGTTGTACTAACAACTCTTGTAATTAAAAAAGTATGGTAAATTACATTTGTAAATTCTACACTTGTTTTAAATAAAGAATGCGCGTGCGTCTGTACATGCTGCGCTAGCCAATTGCTCTAATCGCTCTACTCCCTGCCCCGCGCCCTCACGTCCTCAGGTCCTCACGTCGCTCCCGCTAACCGGCGGAAACAGAACAATATAAATACGTGTTACGATTAACTTTAATCATGAGTATGTGCATTGCAGTGTGGTGTTCTCGCTGTTCTTCATAATGAACCTGGTGCTGTGGGGCAAGGGTTCCTCGGCGGCGGTGCCATTCTCCACGTTGGTGGCGCTACTGGCGCTGTGGTTCGGCGTCTCGGTACCACTCACCTTCATCGGCGCTTACTTCGGTTTCAGGAAGAGGGTCAGTTCCATAATATTTTACTTCTAGCTAACAAAAAAAAAGTATCTTATAGCATAAGAATGTTGGGATCATAATCTAACCATGTGCAGTGTTGAAAGTTATCAGAGCAGTCGGTCCGAACAATTTCAGGTTTTTTTAATTAGATTATGATTAATATGTCATGCCGCCTATCCCAAAAACACCTGATTCGTCAGGGAGTTGCTTTAAAAAACCGCATATCTTTAGTACAAAGCCAATGGAATTGTATGGCAGTCCGATAGCAAGCCTTTTAACATATTCAAAGTACAATTTCACTTCACAATACAGTAGTGATGCAACAGATTTCTGTTTCGCAACTGCGGAAGTTCCGCACACGTTTTTACTTCTGTTTCCTTTTTTGCTTTCGCAATTTTTATAACCGAACTTTAATCGGAAGTTTAAAACGATCGCAACGGGTGTGGCGCGCGCGCAGATCGCTTTGCGATGGGGAACGCATTTTTGATGGTGTAGGCAGGCTAAAAGCAAGAAAGTTACAAAGAAGCGACAGCTTTTGGTACCGCCTTGCTTTCCATACTAGTACATTTTACGCGCTATTGCACGCTAGTTTGCAATTAGGAATTAGGTAAACAGGATTACATAAAGAGAAGTTTTGTGTTAAGTGCGATTATGACATCAAAAACGTTTCGTTGAGATACTTTATCCACTTCCGCATCCGCTTTCTTGTCCGCTAAGATTTACTTTTGACATCTGTTTCCGTTATGACACTTCCGTTGCATCACTACAAACAGCGATGTAATAAGTGTGGAAATAAAACTATTTTGAAACCACTGGCCACTATTCTTAAAAAAGGGATATCTCATCTTGAAATGAATTAATAATTAACAAAACCAATTTTCTTTATTATTTACGTTTTTTTCAATTAATTACTTCTCTGTTGCTTCACTGTTCTTTTTGTTTTTAGATGACGTCAGTCAATAACGTAAGTATATTTTGATTGTTCATCTCGTTCCCCATAGTACATCTACATTGTGTACTTATTTTCAGATTTTGGACCACCCAGTGCGCACCAATCAGATTCCGCGGCAAATCCCAGAGCAAACTTTGTACACCCAACCACTACCCGGAATTGTCATGGGCGGAGTGTTGCCTTTCGGATGCATCTTCATACAGCTATTCTTTATACTGAATTCGCTCTGGTCTAATCAGGTATGAAATTTTAAGTAATCCATAATCATTTTTTACCTTGAAACCCTATTGTTCATTTTTGATATTATTGTTCTAATTGTTTGTATTAAGTTTATTAAATATCATGATGTTTTACTACTGCAACTGGGACGTAGCTCGGATTGTGTAGCGAGAGGTACTTTCATGAATTTAAACTGGAATAATCTTCAAAACTTGGTTTATTGTACTTTTTTACATATTTTCAGCGTTGGGTTATATTTCGTAATATCAAGATGTTCTCTTCTTATTTCATTTTTCAAAAAACATTCTAATTACAAAACTATATTTTTTCATTTCATTCATTCAGCCAGTGATTCTACTCATAGAGTAGAGCCTAGACTACACTACCATGATATTCAATTATTTTTTGTGTAACTTACTACACTAGTTTGTTATAATTATTAATAAAAAGACCAAAGACTAAGAAAAATTCCTTCAACATTTCGTGACTGAATGCTGAAGGTGCAGCTGCGAATCCACCCGGATAGAAGAAATTTTTCTTAGTGTTCGATCTTTGTATAGAAAATTGATATTCTATTTAAAATAATAACACATCAAATCACAGGAAACGAAGAAATAGTAGATTGTACAACAAGTGCATAAAACGCGTCATTTTGCTCGAGACGAATATGTCTATATGGATACTTAAGTCGAGGGTAAAATGGGTTTTATGAACGAGTTATACACTCTGCTTTTCACTTCGATTGCGAGGAAATTAAACAGCTGTATGACAAATGAACGATTAATTAATTAAAATTGAATGTAAAATTACAACTATTAGACATATTTAATGTGATGGTTTTTTATTATATGCACTAGAGCATAAAATCCTATTTTATGCAGCCTACACCAGCATAAATACAAACTTTAAGAGCATGAGAAGTGAAGAAATATTTTTGATTTTTTACGCACACATTCATAGCCTCAAACTGGAAAACCCTGTATCGCCGCATAGCGGATGAAGAACGATAGTAAACCCCTGAACCGGCCATTATGCTTTGACAAAAGTGGCCGTCAGATATCTGGTCAACGGATCGTAGCCTTTAAGAAGCAAGATAAAAGCTCGTTCGCGAGAAGTTCCGCCTACGGCCCTCCGCGACCAGAGATTTTTCCACCGATTAATTTATAATACTGTAAAAAATTCAGAAAAAGTACTTGCAAGGTCGAGTCTGAACTCGTGCGCCTTCTTTGAAATTGAACTTTTATACGTAACCGGGTCACGTTTTTTATGTTATAGACCGTAGTGTCAATAAATATGTGTTTAGTGTTCATTGGTTTTGTAAGGCTTGCTGGGTCTGCTAATGTAAATGAGAGCAACTTTAAAATAATTTCAATATCTTTCCAGATGTATTACATGTTCGGACTTCTCTTCATCGTATTCGTGATCCTAGTAATCACGTGCTCGCAGACGACTATCCTACTCTGTTATTTCCACCTCTGCGCCGAAGATTACCACTGGTGGTGGAGAGCCTTCCTCAGCTCCGGCTCCACAGCTGGATACCTATTCATCTACTGCTGCCATTACTTCGTCACAAAGCTCAACATTACAGACGCCGCCTCCACTTTCCTATACTTCGGCTATACCTTCATTATGGTGTTCCTATTCTTCCTTCTAACGGGCACAATCGGCTTTATGGCTTGCTTCTGGTTTGTAAGGAAGATCTACAGTGTAGTGAAAGTTGATTAGATAAAAAGTGCCAAGTGACCATTGTGATGTGCATTAGTAAAATGTATATGATTTTTAAGGCCGAATGTCGGTAAGCTACGTGAGCTTTTTGCTTTAGTGCTAATAAAACTAGAGGCAACCTATTTTTCTTATTATCTACATTTAGTAATGTTGGCACACCTGACTATAAGCAGTAATGAGAATAGTCTAAAGGTGAGTTCCCAAGGTCTGTGATCGGACCGCGCCAAGCCTTTAAGGCTCCGTCGGGTCCGCTTGTGCTGGTGACTTCAACACGATTTTCACTTGGCGCATTCACGCCCGTATAAATCACAGACCGTGGGAAAGCACGTTAATATCCATATGGTGATATTCACATATATGGCTTACAGACCGACTTATTTTACTTATGTGTTATATGAGCCGTGATTCTGGCAACTATATAATTACATAGAAAGTACAGTTAATTTGGTGTTTTCTACATGGTGGTGTTAATTAAGTTGCTCGATCTGTATAATATTTTGTAACAATCAACAAATTAAGAAATAAAATTGTTTAAATTTTGTGTTCACTTTAGAAAACTCCTAAACCATCAGGACTTCTTTAGCTTACAAAGGATGTTTACAACTGTATATAATAACCCTTTCTACATGGCGATTATTATCTAGATTTGTACATTGAATAGCATATTTGATTATCATAGTCGATTAATATCCACGTCACAATGGCCACTGCAAACATGAGAAGGGTTAATGCGTCCAGTCCAAATAATGGTACGACGAGTTGACAAGTGAGAGACTGTACAGAATGTGATTATGTATTAAAGTTTATAATGGCAAGTAAATTAGTCACGACGCCGTTCATAAGTTCTCTAATTAGTCCAGACAAAGGGTTGCAATGAGGACTTCGTCTGAAGGCAAATTGACTGATTCAATTTCCTATCTTATTTGTAAGATAAAGAAAGAAATCTGACGTTAAGTTATTCAGATCAATCATAGATCGTATGGCTATTATTGCTGCCTGCATAATTAAGGGATATTACAAAGCCAGCCACTTCAAAGATCCTTTGATCTGGACGTGTAATCTTTCTTTTAAGGAAATACCAAGTTTGTACGTAAATGTGTTGATTTGCAAATAGGTTTCGACATTCCTCTGCCCTTTGTATATGTCTCTCTGTCCTCAAAACAACACATTTGTGTCTTAACTGTATCTTATTTTATTGTTGCTATTATTATTAATTGTAATTTAGCCGCCGAAGAATGACCGGTTTGACAGTTTTATACATAGTAAGTAACCGGAATCATCCCATTGACTTTTATTTCATATAATAGATTAGATTCTTGAGTTTCGAGAAGATATCAAGTTTAATTACGTTCGCTACTTCGCTATCTCGTATTCATAGGCGACGTATTTACCGATAAGTATTCCAATTTTAAGTCTGGATATTGAGTCAAAATGGGATGGTACATTCATGAAGATATTTGGGGGACTGTCATTTCAACTATCATTATATCACATGTCATTACGTCCTATTTAGTGTGGCTAATGTTGTGTTGGCTAATATCAGTAGGATAATGAAGATCTCTTTCTATTGGATTATCACTATCAGACTAATTTGTATGTTAAAAAATGTGTCAAAACGCTTATCTATCGGTGACTTAGTCGTTAGTTGTAAATAAGTTTCTAAAGAATTAATCGATTTATTTATTGTTCCCACGCTATGGATTTACTGCACAATTTTTTTATATAAAAATAATGTCAACCTATTAAAATTGATTTTGAAAATAGTACTTAAAAAACTATTGCAATCAATTTGATTAAGAAATACCTATGTAAATGTAAAAGAAGTCAAATTATTTGTGAAGATTTATAAGAGCTTCTATAGTTAGTTATCAATGGATAGGGTAGATGATTGCTTAAGTTTATGGTCAATATCATGTAGAGTCGAGAATCTATTGCACTGGATCGAATTGGAAAATAAAATGAATAGTAATTGAGATTAGGTCGTAGATTTATCTCGAAGATGTGTCCTCTAATTCTAAACTGTATGAATATAGTTTAAACTATTTATAATAACTAACCTAAGTTAAGTCGTGACTATTGTCGCATTTTAATTTTATGTGTGCATATGCGAGGTTAATTTTATGTATACTACATTTATTCATTTGGTTTTCAATTTTTGTTTAATTTAATTGGAACAGTTGGATGTAAACAATAAATTGACTATTTTACAAATGGATTTCATTTAATTAACCTACTCCAAAAAAGGAGGAGGTTCTCAATTCGACTGCATTTATTTGTAAGTTACGCGATTACCGATTCTAATGGTTTTTTTTTTGGTGGAAAGGCACCTCAGCACCCATTTATAGTAGAAGAAAATATTCCACCTAAATGGAGGAAAACTAGGGAATAAGTCCGGTTTCACGCACTTTCCGGTAACCGATGTCAATAAAACTTGGCAAATAGATGCAATGTACTTCTACGTAGGTACTTGTGAGGTCGTGTTTTTAAAAAAATAATTTGTTATGTGTTCATATTTATGTTATTTTTATTAATCTATCTACAAAAGCTGGGCTGTTTAAGAAGTACAAAGGCGGTGAAATTATTTATCGTCTTTTGTAGTTCGCTTATAATTATTTTTAAGCACAATTGCATTAAATATGTTAACACAATGTGTTAAGATAATTAAATTTTGCCAAAATTACAATTACGTCAATGTAACACCAAATGATCGAATTGTTCACCGCATCGTATAACAATAATCTTCCTAAATCACTTTCGTACATTTTATGTATAAACTATTGATATGTTACATACCTATGATGTAATGTATAATCACTACATATTATCACTACCGCGTCTGTCTAATCGCGATAAACTAAAATCCTACCTACTGAATGGATTTTTTGCGGTTTCCACCAATAGACAGAGTGATTTATGAGGAAGGTTTAAATACAATTTATTTAGGTTTTGTTGGCTGAAATATGACGATAAATGCTTAGAATAATAACGCATAGAATGATAGTTTCATATCAAACGAACTGTCACAAGTGAGGCAAAAATCAAATTCATGTTGGCTAGTTTTAGTAGTAGGTTAATTTTCGGTTTTAGTGAATATTTATATAAAAATACAAGTTGAAACGTGTTACTTCCTTGTGAAATGTGATGTTAGTCTCTATTTTATGTTTGTCTGACGTATTTTCACACTCATTTACCGCACATTAATAAAGTAAATTCATTATGTAGTCTACCAGTATATGATGAGTGCTGAGAAAGGGGCGGCTGGTACTGACTACAAGGGCTGCGGCCAGGGCGACCAAGACTGCCAATCCGCCTCTACCTATTGATTTGTAAAGCATAATAAAATATGTTTCAATAAAATGATGTATCAAGATTGTTTACATTTACTTAAGTACCTACCTAAACAAATTGACTATAGCGTCCGTTGAACTCATTAATAATTAATCTAAAGAAGTATTTTAGAGTAATTTCAATTACTATTATTACAGCAATAGTATAAAATCATTCGTAAAAAAAAACTTACCATCGCAAGTCTTGGCGGTACGTTTTATGGCAAAATGATGAAAAATTAGATATTGCCAAAATTCTTGAATCTTTAATGGAGTTCATTTGTTTTTGCTTTTTTTTAAATTAATTATTAACGACTATTATCAGCAATAAGTCTATCGTATAATATATGTGTAAAGATTTACTCATTTTCATAAATTAAATAAAGCGCAGGCCACACGGCGAGTTGCATGCAACTGTCAGACTTTAACATCGTCTACGGGTCGTATTCCAGAACTGTACTCAATGCTCAAGTCAGGATTTGAGCAGACTTGAGTATGATTTCAAGCACTGGAAATCGGACCTGGACTTGAGTATGATTTCGAGTGCTTTAAACCATACTCAAATCCTGACTTGAGCATTGAGTAGTTCTAGAATACGACTCTCAGAGTCGTATTCTAGAACTACTCAATGCTCTCTCAATTTATGGTTTAAAGCACTCGAAATCATACTCAAGTCCTGACTTGAGCATTGAGTAGTTCTAGAGAACCCATTAGGGTCGTATTTCCAGTGCTTGTGTTTCCAGTGCAATCCTGACTTGAGCATTTATACCAGAATAAGACAAATGAGCATTTATGAAAAACTTTTAATAAATAAAAACAGGGTAAAATTAATCACTATCACTACTTTCAGAAAGCTCAGCTTTTTCTTTAGGTAAATTTATTTTCCGTTTCGTAGTTTTCTTTTGGCGATCGATATTTGTTTTCCTGAATACCTCGATGGCCTTTAATTTATTTTGCAGCAAATTCTGCTTTTCTCTCTCCCTTTGTGGAATTATTTCTTGTACTCGGTCAGTTTTTTTAATAATAATTTCTATATCAGATTTTCCATCTTGCATAAATTGTGATACTACTTTGACACTATGGTCATGAAATACTTTGTCCTCGGCACTCTTTATCACTTTAGATATTGAAGGCCCAGGTATTTCGAGATCTTTTCCCTTACCAGCCTTTTTGGTAACTTTCCTCTTCCTGGTCGGTTTTGATTCATTCTCAGTCATATTATCAACACAAGCATTTTCTTGAGTTGGTCTTTCAGGGCCCATCTTTTCTACTGCTGCCTTTACACGTTTACTCATCTGGTCTTCCAAATTCTGAAATTCTACCTTCCTCTTAAAATAGTCATGAACACTCCTTTGACTCTTCCGATCAATCATTCGTTTTAATACTGGTTTAATTATTTCATCTAACTTGTTCTGTGACCAGCCAAATTTAGCTTTTGTATAATCTCTCAAAACTGTAATATCTAATTCACCCCATGTGAATTTATCTTCGTTCTTTTCTATATTTGGTTCCAGGTAAGCTTGGACTACCTGGAAGACAAAATTCTAATGTGTTTTTACAGAACTAAGTATTATTATTATGAGAAAAAAAGAATGTAGACCTTACCCGTGAACTTGGGAAATCTTCCGTTAAATGCACATTCTTTAATTTTCTCTTTAATGTAATATTATCAGTTCTTTTTCCGGCTTGTACCCACTTCTTAAACTCTTGCAGCCCAGCAATAACATGCTCATATCGGGCCTGTTTTGAAGTCTCACTCAAAAATATGTTTTTATTAAATGGAAAAGATGCAAGGATCTCCAAAGCCGTTACTGGACCTACACCAGTAACTCCGGTCGTATAGTCACTACCCACTAGCAATGCTAAAAGTATTAACTGTTCCCTGGATAATTCTGAAAGAAATTCAGACACTGTGATAGCTGATAACAAAAAAAAACCAAATAAAATTAATAATAGATTTAAAATCAGTACAACATGCTTACTGAATGACTTCTCGATACGTTCGGCCAAAAACTGCAGCACGTGCTTTTTCTGATTGAAGAAGTTCTTGTATACAGTTCTTCCGCCGAAAAGCCAAACATCGCTATCATCTGTTATAGTACCATCAGTCAATTTCACACTTTCTAGAAACGCGCACTGAGCTTCAGCTTCCATGGGAGCAACAATGTACGGAATACCAAATATTTGCAATAATTCTTGAGCCTCTTTGGTCATTTGCTCTGTAATGTTGCGACCTATACGATCTACTCGCCCCTTTTCATTAATTAAATCCCGTTCTGCACTTTGTAATTCCTCCTCTATAGTGTTAAGTTGTTCTAAAGATATTGGTTCTCGAGATGGTTTATCAATTAATTTGTCTGTTACAGTTTTTTCTGTAATATCCTTATTGGAGACTTTTTCCTCTATTGATTTTTTTTCGACTATTTCTGGTGCAGCTTTTGGTACATCTGTGCTCTTAGTAGCGTCTTGAGATGCTGTTTTAGGTTTATTAGCATCTGATTTTGTTCCATCTCCAACATTCATTTTAATGGTAGGCTCAGACAGTGCACCTTTTTTCTCAATATTGAGTTTAAACGAAGACATTACTTGCTCAATACTGTTATTAACTTCTGGATTTGTTTCACTATTTAAAGACGTATCTGTTTTATTAATGCGTACATGTTTTTCTGTCTTTATTACAGTGTCTGTGACTTTCTCTTTTACACAAGCAGGTGCAGGTTCGATATTTGCTTGAAAAATATCTGCAAAAATGTCGTCTTCTGGAGCGTCGCCTACGTTCAAAGTTAATTGAATTACAGGTTTTCGTGATTCCTCTTTTTCCGTCACTTCTTCAAAATCGATGTCACTTGAGCTTGAATCAAACTCTATGGAATCAAACACGACTTGTTCGGGTTCTTTAACACATTCTAAGGACATGCTTATTGCCCTTTCTAAATCCTCATCTAAATTTACAATTTCATTTCTTGACTTTTCATTATATTTGAAATTTGCATCACAATTTAACTGCTCGTAATTTTTCGCATCATCTTCTGAACTTGTATCAAGACATAAAATCGCTTGCTCAGAATTTTCTATACACATAACTGAGGCTTGAGTTGCATCCATATTGGTTTGAAAATTTTCGTGTGTTGTATTTAATTCTATAACACATTCTTCACATGTTTGATCACTATTTTTTTGATAGTCTTGTTTGCACTCATCGTCACTAGACGCGAGATCTATGTTATCAACGACATAGGTTTCTTTTTTAAGTTCTTCTATTATTTGATCAGCATTCGGTATTTTGTTGGATTCAGATTTATCATTTTTATTTTTCGCTACGATGTTATCTATAGCTTTGTTTGTTAAATCCGTGTATTGCATGATGTAAGCTTTGGCTGAAGACATATTATCTGGAGGTTCAAAGTCGTCTTCAGAATCAGAACTGTCTGTATCAGTCAATGCTGAGGTCCAGGAATCATCCGTTTTAGAATTACAAGTACTTATGTCGGTTTCATTGACACATTGTAAAGACATTCTTATAGCTTTTTCTAAGTCTTCTTCCAATTCACTTTTCTTCATAACTTTATCTTCACTTCCAGAAGGTTTTACTTCTAGTGTACTTGTTTCTGATGTGCTCTCTGCTTCCTGCTTTCTTTTAGCTTCAGCTAAAGCTTCCTTAACATTATTAATGAGTAAAAATCTTGTGTTATTATTAGAAGCGATACGACGGGTAGGTAAGCTTTCTATTTCGGTATCAATTCCTTCTTCATTAAGTAATGATTCAAGGTCATTCAGGGACATCCCGGTATCTCCCATTTCTTTTTCTGTTTCTTGTAAGCATTCTTGTACCTTTCTTCTTTTTAGCAACCGCTGCATCTGTGGATGACATTATGTATTTACCTACAGGAAATTCACCTTTCAAATTAATTGCAGCACTATAATCAAGCAATTTACCTGAAAATCAGAGAAATTATCACTTTTTTTTGGAAGTTCATGTAGTTTCCCCCAAGAGTTCATTTTCCTTGTCTCTTTCAACTCAATCAAGAGTTCATACTTTTCTTTTACTGGCAAAGCCTTAAAATTTTCTGATTCCATATCTATAGAATGCAAATCACCAACTGAACTGCTTGAATGCTCTTCTTCAGACCTAAAAATTATTACAAAAGGTTTGTTGTCAAAATATTGACACTTTGAAATACATGTATATATTTATTTTAATTATCTAAACATACTCTGATTCAGTTTCATCATCCCTCTGAGGTAAAGCGGGTAACTTAAAAATGTCATCATTATTCACATCATTAACAGTGCTTGTCTTGGGAGAAACCTGCTTGCCCAATAAACTACTAACTGCGGTCTTCTTACTCAGAACAAGAGCAAGTTCTCGTTTAAGCCGTTCTGATTCTGAGTAGTATTTAGCTTTGTGATCTTGACGTTTGGCCTGAAAAATTTACACAAACTTTACAAAGTTCAAAAATTTTGAAAGCTCCAAAATTTGCAAAATTTGCACTCACAATAGTTTCCCTTTTCAAATCTGGGAATCCACCATCAAACACAAATACTGGCTTGATTCTGAAGTAGAGCAGTTTACAGAGTCGTTGGAAGAGCCCCATTAAATGAGCATTTGGAAGTGGGGCACCTTTGGCGTCTTGGTATCCTTTCACCATCTGGTGCAACCATATTGAAATATCTGTTGGAATAATGAAATTTTGCCATTACTGTTATATGCTGGTTTATGGAGATAAAGTTAAATTTCCAGCCTACTTCAACAGTATCCAATCTTCAAAAGCAATTGAATGGTCGAAATTACATTGATTTTAGGTCAATGACCGGCCTTCACAATAATGACAGCTACTGATTAGCATGGGAACCTACCAACAGCTAAAACTTTATTTTCCAATGTCTCGACTGGCACTGGTTTCCCAACGGGCTCGATAAGTCGCCACAGGCCGGTGACTCCCATCGCGTGCGGCTACACTCCAGATTTTTTGTTTAGCCTAATGTATATGTATATAACAAAGGTCGTTCCCACGAGATCGGCGGTCAATCGTCGGGTCTTCCTCACACATCAACCTTTTCGCTCCATGAACTGGATGTATTTATCACGCACACAGCGACAATACCAAATGTCTGCTACTGGCTCACTGCGTTCATAAATATGTGTTCGGTTCACTACAACATATCAAATGGTTTACTATGCCGCGAACGCCCACTCTTTCCCACACTTTATTTTCTCACGCCCCATGCGTAACCCCACATCCTATGACCGGCTGTCTCGCCGTCATTCAGTTCAGTCGTTGGGTCGACCGACCCCACTTCACTTGATTTTGTTCGTTGCTCGCTCCACTCGCGTGTCTCGTTCGACAACAAGCTTGTACTTCTTCACTTTTTGTGTCTATGGTCCATTTTGACAGTTCGTATTTCTAGCGTTGTCGTATTTATTTCGCTGGACTATACACAAGTTTAATTAATTGACTTCTCAATTAGTTCGTAAATTATCAACTGAGAGTTTATCAGCCGATAAGAATCCCATTTCGAATGTAAATAATAAACAACGCAGCATGGAATGTTGGCTAGACTGTCTGAAAATTCTGCCATCGAACAGGTGTTTTTGAATGAAATGTGTGTTGCTGTTCCCACCGTAATTAATTTATAGTGCCGTGAATAATACACAAGTGTATCGATCGACAACATAATAGAATCCTGTGGCCCTTTTCATTTTACCGACGCTTTCTCGCGTATCAACAGTAGGCTGATAACAGGAGACGCCACTTCGCTCGATTGTATTGACTTCAGGCCTGCAATGTTTCACAAAACTGGCTCCAGATAGAGGTTTGGGAACGGAGTCATGAGCGAACAATTACTCGATCGATAGGACATGAGGGGAAGAAGGTGAGTGGAAGTCGTGGCGAGCATGCCGCACCAGTTCGGGAGCGGCGCGGGTGGCATGGCGGCGGGCGGGCCGTCGCCGCCGCCGCAGCACGGCGCGCTGTTCCCGCGCTATGCCAGCGCCGCCGGTCCCGGCGCCGGCGCCTACCGCCCCGAGGAGCGGAGGCTCACGCGCGAAGCTATGGAGCGATACCTCCGCGATCGCTCCGACATGGTTGTCGTTATCCTACATGCTAAAGTTGCGCAGAAATCCTATGGTAACGAGAAACGGTTCTTCTGTCCACCTCCATGTATTTATTTGTTTGGAGATGGTTGGCGGCTCCGTCGCGAGCGCATGCTGCGGGAAGGCGAGACGGAGCAGGCTGCTCAGCTGTGTGCCTTCATTGGTATCGGTAACTCTGATCAAGACATGCAGCAGTTAGACCTGAACAATGGAAAACAATACTGTGCTGCTAAAACCCTGTACATATCAGACTCAGATAAGAGGAAGCATTTCATGTTGTCAGTCAAGATGTTTTATGGTAATGGTCATGATATTGGTATATTCAATAGTAAAAGAATAAAAGTTATATCAAAGCCTTCAAAGAAGAAACAGTCACTGAAGAATGCTGATTTATGTATTGCAAGTGGAACAAAAGTTGCCCTATTCAATAGGCTCAGGTCACAAACTGTATCCACAAGGTATCTCCATGTGGAGAATGGGAATTTTCATGCATCATCTACCCAGTGGGGTGCTTTTACAATCCATTTGTTAGATGACAATGAGAGTGAGTCAGAGGAGTTTGCCGTGAGAGATGGTTATGTGCATTACGGCTCAACAGTGAAGCTGGTGTGCTCAGTGACAGGCATGGCTCTACCAAGGCTAATTATCAGAAAGGTAAACATTTTTTAAATTTTTTTAAAAGAAAGATGGTAAATTTGTTATCCACATCAAACCTAATAAGACAATTTTAGAATAAGTTAATTTAGCTAGTATAAGATAACTATTAAACAATTAATACTAGAACTATAAGACTGTTAACACTTGCTAGACCATTATTCCGCTTGCCTTAAACTAGAGAATGGACCTATGATGATTTTACCAACCTGCTTTGTATTGAGTTGTTTATTTCAATTTACACACACCACACACATTCCATTAAAAAAATTATAATTTTTTTATTTATTTTTTAAATAGATATAATAATAATAATGCACACACTCAACATAGCCCCGCACTAGGGAAATCCTGTGTCGCGGGTGCCATGGAAAAACACATAAACAACCACAAATTACACCCAAACTGTCGAAAGAAATAAATGTAGGCCATACAAATATTTCTGCCGGCCCAGGAATCATACCTGGGACCTCTGGGTGGCAGTCCGGCATGGTAACCTTTCTGCCACAGAGGCAATTGGTGTTAATATTTATTTTATTTTAAATTATTAGAAATGCTACACGGTTATTGGGATGGTCCTATAAAAATACTGTATGTACAGAATAAACAAAGTAAATATTGGTGGAGGTATAGAAATATATCCAATTTCATTATTAGGGTTTAAATAAAATATTATTTTATAAAATAGATCCTTAAATTACAATGTACTTAAAGAAATTTGCCAATTTAATGTCCCCAATTAATTAAAAATATAGCCTAATCTTACTTCAGTAAGAATATAAAGAAATTGCTGTTTATGTTATTGCTAATCTGCAATTTCTTTCAGACAACTTTTGGGTAAAGACATTTTCCTTATCATTTAACTGCCTCCGTGGTCGAACGGTTACTACGGACTGCCACGCAGAGGTCCCAGGTTCGATTCCCGGGCCGGGAGAAATAGTTGTATGGCCTACAATTATTTCTCTCGTGACTTTGGGTGTAATTTGTGATTGTCTATGTGTGTCCATGGCACCCGCGACAAAGGGTTTTACAAGTGCGGGGCTATGTTGAGTGTGTGCGTTATTTATTGGTTGCAGTACTGAATTTTCATTGATAAAGTAATTTAAAAATAAACTATAAATTTAAGTAGTACAATAATAATAATTATTATAAAATTCTTTGTTTACCATAATTACAACATGTGTAAAAATTTTCAAATTTTTCAGTTTTTTAATTTTTTAGTTGATATTTTTTAGTATAACAAGTTTTACAAAAGAAATTGCCAAACAAACATTTTGGTTCATTATAGAAGCTGACATTCAATCATTTGGCTAGTTATGTGACAAGTTTTTGCTGAATTATTTTTTTTATTTCATAGCACAATCATCACAGGCGGCTGTTTTTGTTACACAATGTATTCCTAAATAGACATAAAAATTAGCATCATGAATATGAAACATGCCTAAAACAACACAACTTTTACTGATTGGATCTCTGAAATCTCAAAACATAATGAGCGCGCCGTGAAGTAAACAATCCGAATTACGTTCGATTTGCTTAAAATTATTAAAATTGGTTGATTATCTTCGACCTTCGGTTAAAACAAAGTCGTGTATGTAAATATTATGTGCAAGTGTTTGTAAACTTTTTATTTGAGAGAGGTTTTAAAAAATTATATAAAAAATGTATAAAATCCTATACTTCGTGAAGACTGGATGGTTTACAATAAGAACTTCAGTGTAATAAAGTTGAGCCTTAAAAATTAAAAAAACAAGCATAAAAGACTCCAAGATACTATAAAATTTTTAATAAAAAGTTCGATATAATAACGTTCAGGCGAAAAAATGAAATAACAAAGAAACATACAATGTATAAAATCCAATATATCAAGAAGGCTGTATTCAGACGTAAATTCAGTATGAAAACGTTCAGGTGTGCATAAAAAGGGTATTATTACTTTTGCGCCTTTTTCCGAACACTGGAGACTTATCCAGAATGTTCGGGAACTTTTCTAATTTTAAAAATTCTAAAAAAAAAAACTATGTTACATGTTACAGCTGACTCGCAATTTTTATAGAGAGCTAAATTCTTGTTAGAATTTACTGTCCAATAGAAGACCATTCCAGTTTTTGGGAAAGGTCTGACCACTTCTGCGTGTAAAGAAAAAAAAAACACATTTCACCCCACTCTGAACAAAATGTAAAACAAATCAAATAAACCACAAACACGAGTGCCTATGTTTAAAAATATTCTTTGTCGCACGAAACTCTGGTTACACAGTGAAAACGCCGTGAGAAGTTTCACAGCAATTCAATTTAAGTTTGTTTATATTTTATTATTTGTAGCATGTAATGAATGGGAGTGAATTTCTAATATTATGACAAATATTAGTATTGACTATTATTAATATAGCTAATGGTTTATTTGCACATTAATGTTACATAAGGGACTCACCACATTTATTCACACGGAATCGCCTCGTGAAGAGTGAAAAAGACGTTGCGCGTTTCACTCCGCTCGGATCGTCGCGAGCCGACGCGAAAGACACAACATTATTTTTGATCTTAATACATGGACTTAATGCGATTCCGTGTCAATAAGTGTGATGACTCCCTTATATAATCCCTGGGAAACATTTTCCAAACAAAATTATTGTACATACAATAATTATATTTATTTAAATTTTATTTTGTCATAATGAGTTTTATTTAAATGTTATGATCGATATAGCTGTTCACTGTTTTTTTACATTATTTAATAACATATACCTGCACGCAAGCAGTAACTGATAACAGCCAGTATCCGCATATACGCCATTTAATCGTTTTTGCTTTATTAAATGCGTTGTACAGTAAAGCAAAAAAATACACATTCAATTCAGTGTCTATGACAAATGAGTAACATTTCTTATCAATCTTTATTTAAAAGAGTTATACTAAAACATAGAAAGTTATGGCGTCTGAACGAAAGGTTTACATGATCACTCCTGTTAAAATTTAATAGACAAACCACAAAAAGAATTAAATTTTCTGTTATATGGAAGTTTATATACAAATTTTTGCGTTATTTCTAGAAAACATCTTAATTTCTATTACTAACAATTTTTTTTTAAATTATTGATAAAATTGGAAATGGAGGTATTTTTTCGTATCTACATCAGTAAATTAGTTTAAGAAAAAAATGCGAAGCAAATCCTACAAAATAGTTTCATTTCCAATTACAACAATCCGAAAACCTAAAAACGAGATTATTCGTATATTGTTAGGAAAATTTATTTTAATTTGTTGGATATTTAGGTACCGAATATTTAGTTTAACTGTTTTTGTAATGTTTTCATTATTACATTCAACAATTTTTTTTTCCTCAAGGTGGACAAACAAATGGCTCTTCTAGAAGCAGATGATCCGGTTTCACAACTACACAAATGTGCATTCTACATGAAGGACACAGAACGCATGTACCTCTGCCTATCTCAGGAGCGCATCATACAGTTTCAAGCCACACCATGTCCGAAGGAGCCAAATAAGGAAATGATAAATGACGGAGCCTGCTGGACTATCATTAGTACAGATAAAGCTGAATACCAGTTTTATGAGGGCATGGGACCTGTCAGGTAATTTGCATTTTTTAACATTTTTTTTATTCTGTACATTACAATAATTGATTACACAATTTAGGTACATTATATTTAAAATTGCAAAATTAAAACATAAAGCCAAAATAATAATGGTCATATTTTACAACCGTTGGACAAGTGTCGGTTTTTTGGAATTCTTTGCATATTTTTAGGTACATTAGAATAGAATAGACATTTATTGCAACGATACAACACATAGATGCAAAAAAAAACAAAAATGGATAACACAGACAAACGAAATAAAATAAAAAGAATTAATAAACAAAATAAAAAATACAATAAAAAAGCAACATAAAATAAGACAAAATCTGACAAAAAGCAAAAAACAAAATGTAACGACTAAAAATTTTGTACTGCCATATGTGCGGTTGTGGCGTACGCAAAAGGACTTCATTCAGCATAAGCCACAGCCATAATTGACTGTGGCGCTTGTTTTCAATGAACCCTGAATTACATTTTGTTAGTATGTCAATGCGTATCTTAGATAGTTAAATGGGCAGTTTCTGTTGCTGTTCTTTTCCAAGATTGTCTGAATCACACGCGGTAAAAAAAAAAACGAAAATATCAGACGCTGTCCACCTATATATCTATATCTAGAGGTGGACCACACAAGCGTGCGAATACACGAAATAGGCTCTCAGAATATCTCCACATTTATACAATGACGCAGTATTTCAGAATACTACAATTTTCAACTAAGCATACACCGACCGATACATTCATGAACAAACGTAACTTTATCGTGAATAAAGCACCCATCTTCCTTTGACTTAAGAATAGGCAATAGAAGGACGCAATGATGAATCTAAAGAGTTTATTTCTATAAAAATCGTAATTGAAACTGGGAAAACAAAATTAAACTAGTTCGACCCTCTAAGCGCGACCCATGCAGTTTGGATGTTTTTTAACAAATATTTCACGCATTATTATACAAAAACAAATCTCTGCAACAAGCGCATAGAAAAATTCATAAGGTCCGCTAGCTCGTTCCTAACTCCAACTAAGCCAAGTTGGCATAGCGTCTGGCACAGTTTGCTTGAAGACGATGGTTCGAATCCGGACCGTCTCCTTTTTCGAAAAATCGCTTTTTTGGCTGTTGATCGTATATTCTTTCGAGATTTTGATGCATCGATGTGGCAAATCTTAGAGCTCACGATTCATAAGTGAAATGGATAATCGAGCCAACGATTTCGAGCAATCAATGTTCGATCAAACCGCATTGGGAACCAGCGCTAACCCATGTTTTATACCGTATCATTTATGGCCATTTTTCAGCACCTTATGTTATAGGTAAATGACTCATGGCATTAAACGTTGACCGTGGATACTTGCTACCCGCGCGGGGACTATTCTTATACTTCAGTTTTGCTTGATCGTCACATTGCGGCATGCTAAAAAAAGTGAACATTACAACTAAAGTGTGAAACACACAGAGAACGGGTGCGAGTCGGGCGCGGATCGGGTCGGAACCGCGGCGTGTCTAATTCCGTGTCTTTTTTTTATAATACTAAGTGACGTAACAAAAACAAGTAGTGCGCCTGGTAGTAAGCCACACGCCTGCCCATAATAGTTACAGTGTTACACAGAACTTTAAATCATAAAGGTCTGGGGGCACCGCCACTGCGCTCTCAATACTATCACAAGCATTATATGATACCAAGTGAGACAGTGTTGATAAGTCTTATGTGCCTGTAATTTCACCAGCACACTTACCCTTCACAACCGAAACACAGTAATGTGACCATTATATACTACTATACTGCTTGGCGGTAGAAACAGTTTAATGGCTTAATGATTTTTATGGACGCGTGTGGTGTGTTTGTCGTCCATATCAATACACGGAACGGTCAGTCAGCTGTGGTAAACGGCCCGAAACGTTGGTTTGTTTCAAAAACTATATAAATATACAAATATACGCGATTTAGTTCCGAAAAAAATAGTTAACTAGATTTACAATCTTGTCGTGCGCCCATCTCGCGCTCCCGATCGGTGTGTTGTCGTCCATATAAATACACGGAATTAGACCCGCCTCGGTCCCGACCCGCCGCGGTCCCTACCCGACCCGCGCCCGACTCGTACCCGCTCTTTATGTGTTTCACGCTTAAACTGTCGGATAACTAACGTATTTAAGTTAAATTTCTGCTCGACATTTTTCGAACCAGTCCGTGGTCCTTAATCATGAGATACCGCGGCGGTGACTCGACGGAAATTGAGTGCCAAAGCCATACTCAGTACGGGTGCAAGCGGCTACCCTCGTTTGCGTCATTCTTATTAAGTCATATGCTGGATTGATTGCACACTACAATAACAACAAATAACACGTCGAGCATAAATGCGACTTAAATAATCGAGTTAGCCGTTATTATTAGTTAATAATCCGTGGTAGCCTAATGATTTGACTTATTGTCTCTTAAGCAGACGCCGTGGGTTCGAATCCGGACTCACACTTCTGAGTTTCTCTTAATTTATGTGCGAAATTTAATTTGAAATTTACCCGAGCTAAAGGAAAACATCCTCATGAAACCTGTACGTCGAAGGTTCACAACCCTCGGAAAACGGATAAAAAGTGGTGGACTATGGCCTAAACCCTCGCCCAATAGACCCTTGCCCAGCACTGGATTGTATATGATTAGTTAATATGTATGGGTTGATGATGATGATTAGTTAAAATGTCACAGTCTCACGATGGTTTTCTATTTAAAAGTGAAGATAATAGTATAAATTAAACAAAATCTTGCAAATGAATTTATTTTTTTGGATCTAAATTGCGTAAACGACGGTGGAAATTCGAAATGTAAGGAATATTTTGCCGTAATGGAAAATGTCCCTTACTACAAAATGTCTCTTCCAAAATTCGACACTTGGACGAAGTTATTATCCTTATATCGACGGTGGAATGTTGAAATGCCCTAAGGCCCAATTCACACTGGCGCAGAGTTGAAGCGTCGCGTCGCGTTCTGTTTTTCAACTATAGCGCCTGGCGACGCGCGTCAACGCGCGACTACGCTCGCATTCGTGCGCCCTGATCAGTGTGGTCGGCGTCTGACGCCTGACTGCTCCCAAGTAACGTGCGGTGACGCGCGAAACCGCTCGACTTCAACCAAGCGTCGACGCGCGTTTTCATATTTGCATAACAATATGTATCCATGGTACCCGCGACACAGGGTTTCCCCAGTGCGGGGCTATGTTGAGTGTGTGCGTTATTTATATTATTTATAACACAAATTTGTACCTTAATAATGGGAAAATAGAGATGTATGTGCTATAGGCGAAAAATATGACGCGTCGCGACACTTCGACTCTGCGCCAGTGTGAGTTGACTTACGACATTTTAAATATTCCACCATCGATATGTTTTTTCAAAGAAACCATCGTTTCGGGCTCTTTACAGGTTCAGTTGACTGTTTTTGATCGGTGGACGCGATTCAGAGCCGGAAAAAACTTTCATTTCCAATGTCTAACAATCGCGAAAACCTAAAATCTTGATATAAACAATTTTTTTTTTACCAGGAACCCAGTTACCCCTGTTCCCTTAGTCCACTCGCTAAACCTAAACGGTGGAGGTGACGTAGCTATGCTAGAGCTGGCTGGCGACAACTTCACGCCGTCGCTGCAAGTGTGGTTTGGAGATGTTGAAGCCGAAACTATGTATAGGTGTGCGGAGTCTATGTTGTGCGTGGTGCCGGATATATCGCAGTTTAGAGGGCAGTGGTTGTGGGTACGGCAGCCCACACAGGTGAGTTTTATATTTAAAACTTATTGCTGTCTGGCATCCGCTATTCTTAATGAAGAAACTATTGTCTCATTGAGCGCGATTTTCATAGACATTATATTTTCTTGAGCCGATCGGCTTTTTGCTTTTTTAGAATCGAAAATTTTTGACGACTTCATAATGATTCAGCGTCAAAAAATAATAATAACTGTTAACACGCACACACTAACGTGCACACACACATATCCCGGTACTAAGGAAACCCTGAGTCGCGGGTGACGTGGACACACACATAGACAACCACAAATTACACCCAAACTCACGAGAGAAATAAATGTAGGCCGTACTTATATTTCTCCCGGACCGGGAATCAAACCCGGGACCTCTACGTGGCAGTCCAGCATGGTAGCCATTCGGCCACGGAGGCGGTTTATCTGATGATCACTCAAATAATTTTTATTAATTTCGACGGCCTCCGTGGTCGAATGGCTTGTTGATGCCACTATCTCTGAAGTCCCGGGTTCGATTCCGTGCCGTCAAAAGTGCCTGTAGAAAAACTAACTATTCTGTATTGTCTCTGGTCTGGATGTTTGTGGTGCCATCGTTGTTTCGTGTTTCCATAACACAAGTACTTTAGGTACTTACTTTGGGATCAGAGCAACGTATGTGATGTTGTCTAATATTTATATTACTGCCTCCATGGCCAAACAGTTAACATACTGGTCTGCCACGCATTGGTTCGATTCCCGGACCGGGATAAATATTTGCATGGCCTACATTTATTTCTCTCGTGAGTTTAGCTGTAATTTGTGGTTGTCTGTGTCCATGGCACCCGCGATACAGGGTTTCCCTAGAGCTGGGCTATGAGTGTGTGTGTGTGTGTGTGTTGAATAAAGACAGTCGACTAAAATGAGATCATAATAACGATCCTGCATTTGAGATTAATTTAATAGGGCGGATCTGGTTCACGCGATGAAACACGTGCCAATGTTTTGTGTACATGTGTAATAGAATACCTCTGCTTCAGGTGCCAGTTTCGTTGGTAAGAAATGACGGGATCATATACGCTACTGGCCTAACGTTCACGTACACACCTGAACCAGGCCCAAGGCCTGTTTGTGCACCTGTCGACGATGTCATGAGGCCCGAACAATCGGGAGCGTGGCACCACGAGCCTCATAATAGCCACAGACTGCCAGACAACACTCTGCAATAGCCAATGGACTGCAGACTGGACGACAGTCTGCAGTGACCCTAAATGATCAACACGCACACACAAAGGTACAGTTGGTGTGAAACAAAGATGACACCAAAGAATCAGTGTCTACAAAGAAATAAGCGCTTATTGAGGACATTAGAATTAAGAAGTGACTTTGCTGGCGAAGTTTAGTGAAGTTTGGTGAGTGAAAGACATTTTTGTAATTAGTTCAATAGTGCCTAATGTCTGGTCCGTATAGTGTGATCCTGTAGTCTGCCTTTCGGCAGAAATTTGAGGATTGTGATAGTTTGTTACAATTTGTAAAAAAATCTTCATATACGGCCAATGCTGAGGAAGCTACAAATCACAAATTGGCAACCTTAATCTCATTTTCTATTACACGAAGTTGTAACACATTTACATAAATATCGCAAAAAAACAGGGCAATCTCTGATTCGTCACTTTCTCTCTATAGTCCATTGTGCAGCAATCTCCCACACAATAATGAGGAGAAATAATTTTGAGTAACATTAAGTTAAAATATCAAGGATCGTACTAAAGAGCTTTTATAAGCAAGAAAGTGCCACTGTCAATTGCTTTGTTTAAAAGTATGTAATACATTGCGAAACTACGAAATTAGAAGGTGTTGTGCCTAAATAAAATTGTTGTAATAAATTTATGTTTATGCTCGAGATTAAGAATACACCAGAATATAAATAAGGCCCTAGCAGGGACCTTGGTGAACTCTATGAGTTGATACTCATGAAATAATACTTGCAATAAGCGACGTTCCTATAAATCAGGCATTTCAATCTGATTAATTTCAAAATTCGTCCGTTTTTTCTTATCATTCGGTTTTGTTTTGTATTTTTAAATGAAATAAAATTGGATATTAAAAAAAATCACAGATCTCTACACGGAAACTTGCCTCTTTTGATGATCTAAAAGATACATTCGATATTTTTATTTTTAATCAATCATTAATGATAATGCAAATAATTGCTTAAGGTTTTATCAGCAAATAAGTTCCTTTTCATCAGCATTTAATTTTCGACTTTACATTTACATTAATAAGAAAATTCATAAAGATAAAAGATCTCTGCAGTAAGATTTGTTTCTTCGGGGCCAAATAGCTGTAAAATCCATGACAAGTCATTGTTTATACTACAATGTTTTAGTGTTAGTAAGTTTTATCTTGGTTTGACGATTTTTCATGAGTGAATTGAGATTAAAAATAAGACGTTAAGTATATATTCATCGAAAAGACAGAATTAATTTTCGTGTTGTTTTACATTTATTTGATTACGTTTGGGATCTATTTGGGAGCAAATATTTGCTCCGATTATGCCGAATATACACAAATATATATTTCCGTGTGACGTGAGAGGTCCGATACATAATGCGAACTAGCGTTGTCCGTTATCGCTGTACGTATGTATATTTACCGAAATATTAAATGAACAAGTTAGATAAGTAGCATTTAGTCCATAGTACACTTTTTATGATTGTCGAAAGATTATAATGAAATTCTATTTATTTTACGCAAAATCTAGTATAGGAAATTTATTTTTGGTCATTAACGGTGTGTATTATTAATAAAAGTGTGATTTCAAACATTCCAAGCGGAAACTGTAATGAGAAGTACAAAAAATAACAATATTTTTGTAGCTACAAATTTAATTGCGAATTATTGAATCGGTAAAAGTTACAGTATTACAATGAAATTAGTATTAAATTCGGTATACACCGCAATTATTGTCAATTTAGTAAAAAATACCAACCGTCATTTTAAAGACATACTCGTGAATTTTTATCAGTTTACATTTGGTACATATTTCTATAATGGACGAGTTCGTATTGCAAAATAAAATTGGCTGCTCATGTGAAATATTGTCGACGCACTTATACGACACAGTTTGTGAAACTTTAGAGCAGTAATTTTAAATATGAATATTTTTAATAAAATGAATTTAAATAAGTTAAACATCTTTTTTTTACTCAGTGTTCAAACCTAGGGCTGTACTCTCGAAGCACGAAATTCATGGTTACGGCCATTTTCCCAGTACGGATGACCTACGGGACTACTCTTCAAGTCCGTCAACGAAAATGGGGGTCCGTTCGAAGCTATCACATCGCGTTATCGTATATTCTTAAAGCCTATGCACACCGCGTATTTTATAGGTACGCGCCGACGACTCGCGTTTCACGACATCTGTAGTGAATCTATTCAAACGCGCGCAAACATCGCGTAAACTTACAGCGTGTCAACGGCGCGTATACGTGCAAAGGACGCGCCTTTTTGCCGTCGTCGGCACGTATGAAATACTGCCTCGGTGGCCGAACGGACTGCCACGCAGAGTTCCCTGGTTCGATTCCCGGGCCGGGAGAAATATTTGTATGGCCTACATTTATTTCTCTCGTGATTTTGGATGTAATTTGTGGTTGTCTATGTGTGTGTCCATGTCACCCGCGACACAGGGTTTCACTAGTGCGGGGTATGTTGAGTGTGTGCGTTATTGTTATTATTATTATTATTATTTTAGGGTCTTAGATCTAGCCCCGACCGAAGCTCAAGTCTGAGGTCATCCATAGTGGGAAAACAACCGTAACTACAGATTTCGTGCTTCGAGAGCAGGGCCCCTGATCTGACGAACATAATTGCATTATGGACGGATATTATGGACTAAAGATACACTGTCCGCATCGAAGTAGCAACAATTAGGCTTTAGTTCCGGTGTGTAACGATTCTGCACAAACTTTTCTTAATCTTAATTCTCACGGCTAGCTGAGGCGGATCTCACAGTCTCAAATCTCATTGTTTAATTAAAACGGAGCGGTCAAGTGTAATTAACTACTTATGAATCAGAGATAATCAAGAAATCAGTGCCCCGAGTAACTCGTGTGGGAACGTCTTCAAAAAGTCTTCACATGATAATAACAAGTGTCTTCCCCCTGCATAGCGTTCCGCCCCGCTGGCTCTGACCTCAGATAATTATCACAAAGTTATAGCAATCCACTATTGTTCCTAGCTGAGATTCATGAAAAACCGGGATTTAATATTCATGACATTTGAATCTAGGTTTCTAAATTGCGCTACAAAAAATCGTATCATAATTCAAGTAGGTACTAATTGTGTTTTGTCAGTCCGTTTCAATTCGTTGAAAACTTCTTTATAATTGGAAATGGTATCGCGTGTTGGTAAAATTGTACATGTGTGTACTTGGTACATGTATTCAAAGAGAGTATTTTTATCACATGAGTCAATAACTTTTATTTAAAAAAATCGACCACCTCAAAAGTTTGTGGAATTACATCTGTTTGCAAGTGGTATTGAAATGTGAAATCCAATAAACCGGATTCGTCACCTAATTTGCCACCCTTAGTAGAGGTGGAACATTTTCTTCACATTGAATGGGACCACTAATAAGGTACCCCCTTTCCAACAAAAAAGGAATCTTAGGGTCGTATTCCAGTACTGTACTCAATGCTCAAGTCAGGATTTGAGCAGACTTGAGTATGATTTCAAGCACTGAAAATACGACCCTAATGGCAAGGACTTGAGTATGATTTTCAGTGCTCACTGCAATACTCAAGTCCTGACTTGAGTATTGGGACTTGAGTATTGAGTAGTGTTCTGGTATACGACCCATAGAATCGGTTCACAATTATAAAAAAATACAGTCGAATTCAAAAGCTCCTCCTTTTTTGAAGTCAATTTAAAAATAATGCGGCCTATACGACACGAAACCAATTATATATATTGTGGGCTAAATTCGTAAATCTCGTGATCTCCGCCGTTAACGTGAACTTTTGAGTAAGCACAAAACCGGAATTACTAGAAATAATTATATGACAATTTATGAATTTACCGTTATTTTATAACTAAAATAGAGTCTACAAATTATATTTTAAGCTTTAACTGCCAGATATTGTGCTTGAAGAGTAAAACCGGGATTTCGTTCAAAAATGTAGTCAAATGTAGCCGACGATATGTGAACTTTAATAAATAATATTTAAGTATATAAAAGTTATCGACAAAATTTTGTTCCTAATTATCAAATTTTAAACCCGCTCCTAAAAAGTTATCATTTTGCAGATGTGGCCTTATTACCTGTTTATACCAAGGGTGCGAAATGCTATTGTTAAACATTCTGCTCTCTCAATTAGAGTAAGTAAAAAAAATTCTTAGTATTCTGTTCAGTAATTGGTATAAGTGCCACGAGTTACGGCATTTACAACGAAAAATGCGTTATAATGACGTTGAATATAATTGCGCCAACTGTGGAAAACGACATGTAAATGCTTCATATCTGATAATGTAATCGGTCTTCCCCATATCCTGTTAACAATCACTTCCGCAAGATCGTCATGAGTGAAGATAATCGCATGTCTATTGGCTTAACAGCATCCTGATTGATGGGAGGGTAACTCGCTAACTGGCACTCGTACTGTTGCATATTTATCTCTGTTTTTATTCGCATTAGTTGTCTAAACTTTTTTATCACAGTTGTTACACGCGTAAAACACTAAAATATTTTTCTCAAAATAGCAATTTTTTCAAAGACAGTTTCCGTTGCCTACTTTGTTGCGCACTCGCGTTTGCGTTAATATTGCAAATGCTCTATTATTGCTTGCGTAACAGCACACTATTTCATCATCTTTCTCATCAGCAAAGCTTATGAAACCCTACCGGTTCAATTAACAATTCGAAACTCGTGTTTTTGCCGCAAAAAGCTAACATCTATCCTGAGCAACGTAACGCTCTTTGCACTCTTAACAACCGCCATATGTTGCGTGACTGCGACCATTAGTTTTTCATCGGTGACGTGCGCCATTTTTATGACGTGCCTCCCATTGCACGTAACCATTCATTGATGCCTGCAAAAAAATGTCATTATCCGTGTAAAAAGCCTTTCAGGATCTAGAGCATCCTGCTAATAGACGCAAACTACGAGACTTTCCAGCTGAAGTCAGCATCCGTTAGACCCGGAACAGATATGTTTATTGGTCATTTACCTGCACTAATTAAGTGTGTAGAGATTATATCTGTAGGGGAGTGTGAGAAAGCAGCGTGCACACAATTGAATCATTGTCTGCTTTTTACATTCTACCGACTTGATCTATGGAGTGGAGATATGCAGAGTGTGGGAAAAGGTGGCGTTGCTCGTGTTTTCCAACATGTCATCTCCGAGCGTGGGAGCAGCCGCAGGAAGCAACAAAAATTAGCAATTAAAATTATATTTTTATGCTCAATTGTCTCAGTGGTCAACGAAACGTGGTAAAAGAAAACTTCGAGTATTTCGGACTTTAGCGGCGAGTGACTTTCGTCTCACGACTTCCTTCCCAATTGGGACAGTATGAGCAAGGAACACCGCCGTGCAGTTACCAGCTTATCGGTATTTTACTGGATATACCACGGAGAGTGCGATGGAATTGCATGATTTGATTGGCTGGGGTGCACCCGTATGTTGTGGATATTTCAAGGATTCCCACGGAGGGTTACGCTTGCCCATTTATACGGCGAACTTATACGCTTGCCCATTTATACCTGTAGACTTATTCCCCGAACGCTATAACTTGGGCCTTGTCTAGGCGAAAGTGAATAGGCATTATTTAGGTGTGCATACTACATCGTCGACCTCATCGTCACTTAATGGTAAGTGACAATGAGGTCGACGATGTAGCATCATGGTGACAATATTTTTCATATAAAAAATGAACCTAAATATCCGTGATTCTGCAAATGAAACGAGGCTGTGGTTCGTATTGTTCCTTTCTAAATATTACTATCATCTATAGTCACCTGAAATTCACATAAGATACACACATTAACTAATTTTAATGGTAGTAGAGCTTGTGAAAAAGTTCGTCCAGGGAAGTACTGCCACCTTACCTATTTCTGCCGCCAAGCGGATGTGAGTATTATTGCGTTCCGGTTTGGAAGGGTAAAGGTGCTGGTGGAATTACAAGCACATGGAACTTGTCAACTTATGTCTCAGGGTGACAGGCGCAGTGGCAGTGCCCCTCAGATCTTTGTGATTTAAAACTCTGAGTGGCACTGCAATTGGTTTGGACGGGCATGTAGCTTGTCGTCAGGTGCACGATTTGTTCGTTACTCGTTATTATATAAATAAAAAGCAAAAATATTTATTCAGAAATCTTATAAATATTAAGTTTGCTTTTTGTATTCTAACATACTATGATACCTAAACGCTAATTGTTAAAATTTTGTCTTATAACGACTACTCCGTTGTATTCTGAATTGTTATTTAAGAACAAAAACTATTATTTCTACAAACTTCCGTAATACGTCGGTCACAGTCGTGGAAGTGATTTTCATGTCAAGCAGATTATCATCCCCACTACCTATTAAGGCTTCCTCCATCTGAATGAGATGTTATTCACGGTAATTATACCCATCGTGATGCATGACGTCATGCTTATGTAAGTATAGTTGGTTTTTAGTTGGTTACTTCTGTTTTGAGTTTCATAACTATGTATTACCTACCTGAAATAGCTATTTGCGCTAATTCGACCAAAAGGAGAATAGTCGTGACCACGGAGCCAGTAAAAAGCTTGAAACGTAACTTTGTTTGAAAAAACAAATAATGCGCGATTTACATCCGAAAAAATAGTTTCATTTCCATAAGAAAAAAAGTTGATATGGTCTATCGGTCTTATCTACTACGTGCCTAAAAACATTTATGGGATCGTTAGTATCCTGAACAGAGATGTTCAATGGGTTAAAACCCAATCAACCCGCCAGTGTTTTAACCGGGTTTTTCCCCAAATCCCGGGCCGGGTTTTTAACCCATTG